AGGAAAAGGAAGCCTCGCGCTTCCTGTCTCGGGATGCCTCGTTCAATTCCCGAGTGTACTGTGTGAGTGCACTCGTCGTAGCAGCTGGCAGGAGACAGCCGAGTGCGTTTGGATCGTCGCCATTGAGCCCTCGATTTCGCCAAACCAGATTGCAGACGTCCATGACGTAGCCGTTGAATTGGCCCACCAATTCAGTCGGATACAGCGAATCTGTAGAGTGTGGTAATTGAAGGATTTCGGAAGTCAGAGATGTTTCGAAGGACATTTTGTAGCTGGCGAGAACCGAGCTAATGATGGAGATGCTTGAGAGAATCGGTGTGAAAACGAGAGTGTAGACTGTCGGAGCTGGAGGAATAGTAAGACGGATCTGGCCATTCACAGACGCATAAGAGAATAGGTCGGCTAGAACGCAGTAGAACTCGAGGACAGATAGGGCGGCCGGTTTGTGAACTTCCACGTCGTCGGTATTGGATGGTTGCACCGAAAGACTCTCTAGTATTGACAGTGCCAGCAGTTCCGCATGCGTGATTAAGCGACCCAATGGTTTTGATTCTGCAGAGACAGAAGGTGAAGTCCTCAGCTTCACACCCCATTGCCGAATAAGTGAAGAGTAAAAGTCAAGAATGACTGTCATGGAGAATGGTCCGCTGCCCATTATGGCAGCCTCTAAAGGAGACAGAAAGTTGGCTCGTAAAGTATCGAAGTCCTGGATGGGGAGGTACTCAAGAAGACTGAGAACCTCTTCTTTGTTGTCGCGGCCGTTCCAAGACAAAAGATATCGTCTTAGAAAAGAATGGACTGACGCAGGAATATCCTGCAACAAACTGCGAGTTAACAGGTGTACATCCATGGGGCCAAGATGGCATACCTTTGTATAGCGCACATAATTCACAATGAGACTCAAGATGTAACCTAGAGATTCTGACGTGGCTAGTTCTTCATCTTGAGCATGCTCCAAACTTTCGTCAAAAAAGCTGCTCAGCCAATCATCTAATCGGAGCCTCACAGGCTCCGGTTGAGCTAGGTATAGATATTTCTGGGCTATGTTGTCTGCAATTGCGGAAATAATCTGATTTGGAAGCTCAATCCGGTCGAGCTTTTCAACCAGGTGGTCGACGCTCCGCAGCTCTTCTAAAGAGGTACGGTTGGATGACACTCTCGATGTCTGGAGAACAGGAACGATCACTTCCATTTTCCCTCTTTTCGCCGCTCCACGATGAACTACTTGAAAGCTCGATGACTGGACCGTCTGTACTTGCTCCAGATTTCTGTCTTGAAGAAGCCTTGCGTGACTAGTCCACTCGGGGTCGGGATGTTTGAAGACCAAGCCTCTGCGTCTCAAAGCCCCGAGATCACCCACGATGATGTCTGGATAATAATTCTTGAAGACGTTAAGCAAACCGATGAGTTCTTTTTCTTCCGCGCCGGCAGCATTGACCAGTTCCATAAGAGCTTGGATCCTGAAGGGCTTGACGTGCTTCCGCCTTGTGGTCATTGAAAGCAAATGGCATAACGGCTTGCGGAGACTGATCATATCAAGGTGATTGAACAGCACTGCGTAAAGTTTAGTGAGGTGCGACCTGTCCTCGCAGAATTCGTAGATGAGGATGAGCCATCGCAGCAGGGAAGCCTGTGTAGCAGGACTCGGCTTGTTCTTGCTGGGACCGAGGCAACAGACGACCTGCGTGACAACCTTGGAAGAGATCCTGTCTATCGGATAGAGATTTTTTATCAAGGTAGTAATTGTTCCTTGATCAAGGTGATTATTTCGTGTCAAAATGTGGATCAATCGCTCCAGTGCAGATGGGCTGATGCCGCTTTCATAAGCGTTCGAAGCGATTGTTTTGGCCAGTTGACCGGCATCAGTGTATCGCTTCTTTGAGGGTACATAAGCAACTGCAATCAAGCATCAGCAAGAAAACCTGCGAAAATCGGCTGAAGTACGATAAAAACAGGCAAGCAGACCTGCTTCTAGATGCTCAAGTGCATCAGCCAGGTTACTCGGCCTGGGCTCTATGCCAGACGGGCCTGACGACTTGTTAGCGATGGTAATCAATCCGAGGGACCTGGCTGTAACATACTACTTTGTGGATCGGACGACATCAATCGTAGAATTTCACATGAATATTTGGTTCAATTCAAATACTGTCGCGTTCCCTTTCTCTGGTTGGCATCGGCAGTATCGCGGTACTCCACGTTTTGTTGGGGTTCTTCGCGTTCCGTCGACGTCCCTTCGCGCCAATGCGATATTATGCGAATGTCCATGCGCCGACACAAATCGTCTTCTTGCCAAAAAAGAAAACAGTTGGATTTGAGAATCAGGCTGAATCATTTGCAGGTTAATGCAACGGTTTGTGACTTGTATCCCCAATCGTGCATTCCTAATGGGTCGCGGGAATTGTGAGCTTAAACCGAATCTGGCGATCAACCATATGGTAGTCTACTACGGAGTACTGCTCCCAATTAAAAACGGCTGTCCTTGAAGTCGAGAAAGTGTTTTCACTTAATTGACCTACAGGTGGCCATCGCTTCGGTAACGCAGATTCTACGGTTAATCGGGCTGAAATATCAAAAGATACCGTTGATGAAGGTTTAAGCTCATGAAGAAAAATGTAGATTTTGCTGAAGGCAAATCTAAGCTTTCGTTCAGGAGTTATGGTATATAGCTCCTCCCGCATCACACAGAGGAAAGGCATTCCGAGTCATTCTTACTTCCTCTTCCGTGTCGACTTCTCAGCATTGTCCCTTCCAGACGCTTCAGACACCGCCTCCAACTTCTTCTCGGATTCGGCTGCTGCCGGCTCCTCTGCCTCCTCATCGCTGTCGCCTCCCTGTCCAAATTCATTGACCCGCTTGTAATCAACCTTGTACTTGTAGCTCTGATAGAGCCAGACGAAGAAAATCACATCATCTCGGAGAGTGGCAAGCCGGTGGAGCCATGGCATCTTGACGGTAAATGCGAACAGATCATCGATGAAGGTGTTGAGGAATTTGTACGTCAAGGCCTTGCCAGGCATATGAGCAACAGACTGTTGACAATATTAGCTTCATTACAGGGGTATGAATCGAGGGGCACCAACCTTCAGACGGTAGTTGATGTAAAGACTGGGAACCATCATCAAAAAGCCATATGCGTAAACGCTGCCGACAAGTGTTTCAATAATGTAGGAGTACCACGACTTGTGTGTGTTGTAGATCAAGCTGTAGGCTGCATATGCACCGAGGAGAGGCACAGCAATGATGTAGAGCCAGCGGAATGCAATTTCATCATACTCCTTGGTCTTCTTCTCAGTTTCCGAAAGCTTGTGCTTATCCTCGAATACCACAACGTAAGGAAGGAAAGAGTAGAAAGACCCCGCTGGCGGCGCACGCAGACGCACGTTCACTGTCTTGGTGATCTTCCACGCCTCCAGTAAGATACCGAAACCTTGACTGGCAAGGATCATCCAAGAAGTGTTTTCACTGTTATCCATCAAGTAGAGGAAGATGACCATCTGCATGAACACGTTAGCCAAAATAGTGCGGACTGAGGTCCCAACAACGTCCTTCTTCTTGCGCCAGTGAGACTAGAGGAGACCCATTAGTTCGACTACATACTGTGGCCAAGTGAAAGGAGGAACGTACAATGTCGTTCTTGAACGCCAAAGTTTCAAAGATCATGTGCAGAATCGTAACCACACCAGTTGTACCAAGCAACCAAATGTTCGTGTTAAGGAGGACTTCCTTGACCATCTCAAACTCAGAGCCATCGCCGCCGCCAGGCACGGAGCCTCCAAATGCGGCTTGCCTGGCGTTAGCCTTTGCATTCTCGTCCACACTTGCCATCATGCTAAACTTCCAGTTGGCCAGATTGCTCAGAGTGATCCGCAAAGGCATCGTCTTCACGGTAGAGTTGAGCTCGGTCATATGGCTTCGGAGTTGCCAGAAAGTATTCAGGTACAAAATAGGATAGTACCACCCGTTCTGACCAGAGGCATCTCTTGCGCCGGTGGCCTCGAGTTGCATGTGATGCCGAATAGCAGGGTGTACTTGGCGGTATTTCTGGACTCCGGAATCAGGAATCAGCGATACCGTGAAGTTGGGGTGGTAGTATGAGGCAATAGAGGCATCCGGAATGCTGTTGTCTTCTTCGTCCTCCTTGGCATCGTCCGCACTGGCAAGCAAGTTCTTGAGCTTCTTGACCTTCTTCTTGGGAAGGTAGTGGTTCAGTGGGCGGAAGAAGTGCACAGCACTATCTGTGCTATAATCCTTAGCAGTTGGGTCGAGTTGATGTCCAGTGAGCGCAACATAGAAATGCGCCCAAAGCGTTCCATTTTGCTGGACTTCCCTGGGAATCTCGATGGTAGTGGCGATTTCCCTGGTGTCACTGTAATTACCGATCGTGAAGTTCTTTTCACTTAATACAAGAGAATCTGGTGGGAGCGAGCTGAGAGAAGGAAGGACAATGGAAGGCGAGACGTAGATGCTGATATCAACGGCGCTGTTTGGGGGCCAAATTGGAGCAACGGTGTCGGGGATAGGACTGTAGTCGGCGATTTCGCTGCGAGGCGGACGAGCTTGGAAGGAGGTCAATTCGCCAGGCTTCGCTCCAGATCCAGCATTCTGTGACTTGTTTCCGAAATATTGAGAGATCAGAAACTGCGTCAGCATAAAAATGGCGAGACCCTGAAGAGCACCCTTCAGGCCGGACTAGAAGGACACGAGTGTGTGTTAGCTCAACAAGGCTTGCGGGCGCTGGTACAAATGAATACGTACGCCGCCAGACTCCTGCTCTTCCCTGCGCTGTCTCTGTTCTGGCATCGTGCTCTGCTGACTAGAGATTGACGATGGCAAAAAAGAGTAATAGTCTCGAAAAGGAGGGAGGGGAAAGGAAAGGTAGAGCCATACGCGGACAGCCGACGGTCGAGAACCGAGCTAGGTCCACCTTGGCGGGCCTTACGCCATTACGGAGTATTAGTAGCGTTCTCGCTCGGCGGATACCATGGTCAATGATGTCGTCTCCGGACTACATTCTATACAATCAATACTGTGCTTACACCTCATATATCTCTAGGCTGTACTGAGGTAGATTTTACGCCAATCTACGCTCGCAGCACTCTTATCCAATCGCGGCTTCTAGGATCGTCCATCCGCGATGGGCTTGTCTGGCGCGTGAACTATCGGCTGCGACCTAATGACGGACAATCAACCCTCCCCCGATTACTCCCGCCCACAGTTTCCTGCCCATAGCGAACCGCGAGTATGGATTCTCACTGCAGGAGACTCGCCCATTGGGATATCGGTTACGCGCCAGATTCTTAAGCACGGAGACTATGCGTTAGTGGGATTGGCACATACATCCTTGGACCGGGACGAATGCCGTCGCGAGGAGTTCGGGGAGTTCCTGGTTGAAGTTGAGAGTCACCGCGACGAAGGATGGGCGCAACGCTTCAGGACAGTCCCTTTGGACATCAGGTGCGGACGTTTTTGACTCTGAATTTACTGATCAGAGCTCACGTTCGACATGTAGAATGATAGGGCAATGTCAAGCCTTGGTCGCCGAGGCAGTCGCAGCATTCGGCAAGGTAGACATCCTACTCTGCTGTACTAGCCAGAGTAAGGGATCTATTCTACTGTTTTTCGAGTTCTGCTTCATGTGCTGACACGCCAGAAGCCCTTGTCGGCGCGGTAGAGGAGCTTGCAGCTTCTCAGCAAACTTTAAACCTGGTCAAGGACCAGTTTGAAACCAATTACTTCGGTCCTCTGAACATCATCAAAGCAACGCTGCCTCACATGAGGAAGCAGAAATCCGGTCATATCATGATTCTTTCTAGCATTAGTATGATATTCCTCGGCCCTTATTGCTCCGATGCGACCCTAATCTGGAGTAGCTGCCCACATCGGTACACCCGGCCTTGGGATGTACTCCGCCGCTGGCTGGGCCCTGGAGGGATTTTGCGATGTAAGATTCTGGCAGAATGCCCATTTTTTACATTCTGGCTAAGAAGTTGCATTATTTAGAGCCTTGCATACGAAATCGCTCCATTCAACATGAAGCTCACAATCTTCCAATGCAGCATCGAAATTGGTATCCTGACAAATTTGATCACCAGTGTGCCTCCCATAGTTCCAGCGTACTCTCCTGCCGTCAATCATGCCCCTTTGTTCCGTGGTATATTGAACAGACTGATTCCTCGTCTGCCCCACCAACAGACTCAGGGCACGGAGAACGGTTTTCAAAACTCAAATCAAGTCAGCTCTGCTGAAGAAGGGCCCTTTTCCGCCCCCAGAGTTTTCTCCATGTATCCACCACTAAGTTCCGCACATATGGAAGTTCTGGTTGAAGAGACTGTGTACGCTATCACAGCCATCGGTGGTCATGAGAACCCGCCTTCACGTCACATAGTGGGACAAGAAGGTGTTGCAAGCGTCAAAGAGAAGCTCAAAACCGTCAGCGAAGAAATGGAGGATTTCATCCAAGCAAGCTTCGCCGTCGATTACGCTGCCGACGGTGGCCCCGGTCCGTCCAAGGAAGATAATATGGCCCTGGGGGCAAACCACAATGAAAAAGTTTGACGTTTGAATGGCGAGCTCTCTGAAATCTTAGCAAAGCGCTTTTTTCGAGACTTCAACTGCTATTCCGTTGGGTAAAAAGTAGCTCTTAAGGGCTACACGTAAGGTTGAGGAGAACATCTGGCCGAAAATGACCATGAGGAAATGGCCGTCAATGCCCGCGTTTCAACTCGTAGCCAGCAAAAATCTCCCCCAGATACACTGAAGAGAAGATTTTACTGCCCTCTAAGGTACCAAGCCTGTCTAACTTCCCATAAACTTCCCATGTCCTGATTGTTTCGGTAAGATCGAAATTCCTTCCAAGCATTCCCGTTGGGAACGTCCTTGATACGCCCGTCGACTTCCAAGATTTTCAGAGCGAGGGCGGTTGGACCCCCGATATTCTCTAAAATGATTTCCGAGGTCTGATCCGAATCACCGGCCATATTGGTTGAGGATGACTCCTCGTCCTTCGCTAGACTAGAAGCGACTTTATCTTGAAGGACTTCCGTTGCTGCTGCGGCAACACTTTCTGCTTCTGTGCTGTCAGTTGAGACAGCGTCGAGTGTCCCTGTAGGTAAGAATGAATCTGCCTCTGCTCGAGGATTGGTGACCTCCTCGGCCAAAGTTTTGGGATTGGCTACAAGGACAACATCGTCATCTGGCTCACGATTCTGCGAGTCATCCTCAGAAGATATAGATCCCTGTTGGCGCTTTCTGCGACTGCCGTGCTCGACTTCAGATTTCCGCTTTCTGGAGGATCTGGACTTTCTTGTGTTACCGGTGTCCGCCTGTGCTTCTCCGTTTTCCTCTGCAGCTCCGTTCGTGGGGATCTCAGTTTTGGAGATCTCGTCATCCTTGTCCTGAGAACTTGCCGTAGAATGCTGCCGGACTGGAGCTTGAACGGCAGGCAGGAAGACGCGTTGGCCTGAAGGGATCGCAAAAGTCAATCGCTTTCCGTCAATCTTCAGAATCTAGCCACGAGTATTGGTTAGCTCAAAGGGTATATGGCGAACGAGAGAAGAGGACCGCATTTACCTTTGCCTCCTTTTCAACTAAGGTCTTATTTCGCCCTTTGCCAGCAAAGGTTCGCGAATACTTCCAGACATCGCCTTCGCGCACGACTCCATGCTCAATGAGCGTAGTCAACTTCACTTGGGAACTCTGTCCAGCGGCAAGAGTTTTGTCCATTTTCTGTTTTTGGCCCCAAAATTCTTCAAATTCCTCCTCTTTGAATCGATCAAATTTCCCCTTTTCCCTTTCGCGCACAGCCTCATGAGCTTGGCGTTGCCATTCAGGGTCATAACGGCCATGTTGGAGGTCTAGCTGAAACAGACGAATACTATCTCGCCAGAAGTTCGAATAGCGCAGGAAAGATTCGGGTAAAGGGGGTATCTTCGCTTCCGAATCATCGGACGTGGATTCGCGGTTCGGGTGTAAACTCTCAGGAAGGAGACTCAATATCTCCTCTTTCTCGCTTTCTTCCAGGCAGTCCCATGCCTCGGGCCGCGCGAGCAGTTTCTAGATCATAAACAACCTCAGTCAACTTTCCGGTCACGTTCTCCGGCAGGGCGCAGATAATCCTCTCAAAGCAGGACATACCACAAGGTCTATATCAATCAGTTGCGAAGTGGTACTGGTCATCAACTTTTCCTCCTCCCAACGATCCTTTGCCGTCCTTCGGGGATTTCGCTTCGGTTTCTTGTTTGTAGACATTGCGGAGCCGGACGTGCCAGCGTCATCGAAGTCTGCTACATCAGCAGAGCGCGTCGAGCGGGTCCTGAATCAGCATTGTTAGAGATATGCACTTAGAAACCCGCAACAGACATTCGCCGCGAAGGGAAGCATATATCACAGCTTTCACAGTTCCGCTGTGTGTTCTAGATGGCATCACTTACGTCTTCGGTTGCTTCCGTGTACTGCCGCTCTCGACCGCCTTGCGCTTGCGGGCCATTGCTGAGGACAACACCAAGGGATCACGGAGTTTAATGTGTTCTGACAGCTGTCTTCTGGAGGTCTGCGCACACTTTAGACGGTAGATAAGGTTGCAGTCGCTCTCATAATGGTCAAATCAACTCAGATTGCCAGGCTAGATGGTAAGATACAGCACACTGTAGTGTTGAAACGGGAGCAGTCACTGACGTTAAGAGTGAAGGCCTGATGCTAGCAGCGTCGGTGGATGATGAACAAGTGAGTTTGACGACTCATTCACTGAATCTTCCCAAGAGAGAGAAGCTAACCGAATCTTTATCCAGGCAGAAGCAGAGCTTTCCGAGATTAAGTCTCAGGCCAAAATGATATTTCGCCGGTTGAGCCGCAATTCTGCACCACAAGCCAGTATTGAATGCGGCCAGTATAATTTACAGTACGCACGGTCTTCATATGCAGAACCCATAGAAACCTAACTTATTCCGACTTTAGCTATCTCATCAAAGACGACATCTGCTTTCTGTGTATCTGCGATCGTTCCTACCCCCGGAAGCTTGCCTTCACCTATCTCGAGGATCTAGCAACGGAATTCACCACCACATACTCCCCGTCACAGTATCATTCTCCGACTCTGCGACCATATGCTTTTGTGGAGTTCGACACTTTCATTCAACGCACGAAGAAGATTTACCAGGACAGCCGTGCATCGCAAAACCTCGACCGGTTAAATGACGAGCTTCGTGATGTAACCAAGGTAATGACCAAGAATATCGAGGACCTTTTGTATAGAGGCGATAGTTTGGAACGCATGGGCGAGCTATCGGGGCGTCTGCGGGAGGACAGTAAGAGATATAAGAAAGCCGCAGTTCGCATCAACTGGGAGCTGTTGATCAAGCAGGTAAGTTGTCTCGACGCCCCCCAGGAAGATTCCCAGAAATTCCCTTCTGACTTATCATAGTATGGGCCATTTGCGGGTGTTGGCTTCCTCTTGCTCTTCTTAATCTGGCTTCGGTTCTTCTGACCCCTTTTCTCTTCCGAGCGCTTAGGGTGTTTTAAACCCCCTCTCTTCAATGTATCTTAATGTTTCCTCATGGATGCAGGACATCCTGCCACTCATACTTGGCCTCCTCAGTTTGATAAACACATAATCTCCAAGGCAAAGCCTCATACTTACTATTGCACGACGCAGAGAAGCAAGTAACTCACTGCTGACGGCAACCAGAAGAGAGTCTGCATATAAGAACGAGACGAAGTCATGTAGACGGTTTGCGAAGCCGCTGTACTAGCCGGATCAAAGTTATAATTCGTCCTCTTCTTCGTCAAAGTCATCCTCTTCGCCCATATCATAGAGAATGCGCCCGCCTTCTCCAGGGCCGTCGCCTTGCTGCGCATCAAAGTAAGGCAACACAACTCCTTCTCTCTCCCTTCTTTGCCGTTCGGTGAGACGTAATTCAAAAGTCGACTCTGGTTCGCTGCTTCCCATTCCAGCGTCGGGCTCCACTGGTGGACGATACAGCGGGTGATCGTCCAGTAGAATCACAATTTCCTTTGCGTAATTGGACGGATAGCGCGCTGCTGGTGGTAGTACATACCACTCTAGAACGCCGCGTCCACTCTTACGCCGATGCTCCATTTCTAACACGACCCTTCCACGGAATCTTTTCCTGTTGGTTTGTCCAGTCGGCCGAGCAGGACTCCATCCAGCTCTTCTTCGAGTCCAAAGACAGGCGCAGCCAGACTGCGATCACGGGCAGCTTTCTGGGCAAGTATGTGCGAGAAAGAGTGCAGCTTGATAACGGTCGTTGCGAGATAGCTAAGCACAGAAAACAAAGGTGGAGAGTAGGGTGTTGCACATAATTGGTTCGGGACGTCCTGGTGGAATGTCACGATAAGTGAGGTCTCGACTTTGGCAGGAGACGACCCGGGAGGTGCGATGAAGGAGCCGAGAAAAGTTGGCAAATGAAACTTCGAATCGGTCTTTTTAGAGCGCAAGAGCGGATTGATAGAATCAATGAGAATTAATCGACCTATAACCAGGGGGGCAAAGACGTGAGCAAAATTGGGAGGAAATCGGTCCGGATGTTTCACTCACGGCGCGAGGGAACGTTAGAAGCAGGCTGGTAAGCAGCGCCTACTTCCTTGACAATTTCCGAAGGATGCTTCTTCCGAGCCGAGATGAATGCATCAACACCTTCGAAAGACCGCAATGTCTCGAAAGCTATGAGTGTTACGTGAACTTTTGAAAGCTTCCCAGAGGCCGTTAGCACGATGAATCAGTTTAAAAATAGACGATGCCATTAATAGTAATAATCATAGCCGGCATGCATGATCAAAATGCACTACTAACCTTTGCACGTCGAATATACTCGTGAATCAATGGCGTGGCTGGTTGTTCTAGAGAGTCCAACAACAATGTGAGAGGGGAAGCTGTGTCTCTAAGGCTGAGAAGTTTCGAGATTAGAAGTAGATTATGTGTCTGGCGATGGGATAAATTTGAAGGGGCCATTTCGTAGGCTACAAACGTCGTGCGTGCCTTTGTCGACGATGAAAGCTTTCGCGGTGCGGGGTTTATTTCAAGGGATCGGAGAAATTATTGAATCATCCACACCAGAATATTCCTGGGCAGTTCTTTGCGACTAACTACTTTTCGCAGTTAGACTGAGGCTCAGCGGGACGGGCCGTTAGGCTGCATCAAATTCGCAGATTACTGGGCATCTTGATGCCTGAGGCACCAAGGCGAGTTAGTCCTTCATCTCTCGCTAGAGAAAGGCGCAAGGTATCCTTGAGGTTAGATAAGGTGTAGAAGAACGAGGATTTTCTAGTATTTAACCTCGGGGTTGCCGATTAAGAACTAAGAAATCCTGAAAGCTACTTTTTGAATACTTCGTTGAGATTCCCTGGAGGCTACCTCACTACAGGTACGGCATTCTCATACATTGTCTTTTATTCAGCCTGATGTGCTCCTAGGCTTTCGCTCCTCATCAGTCAAGCGGTATTTGGGGCATACCGCACGGATATGTGAGACCTGAGGTATTAGAAGATGTACGTGGGCCTTCGATGTCTCTCTTGAGTTTCCGCCGAGTATTATCAAATCAATGGAGGACATAGTCTCGCTTCTAAAAAGGCCAGGCTATGGGGCTATCTACTCTTATCATATCCTTATCTGATGAAAGTGCGCTTCAGCGCTGGAGTTTCGGACTCAGCGATTGTTTGAGATATCCACCAAACGATTGAAGCCCACAATATCCAGCTATGTCGTTGTTTTCTGCTGTGCCTGGTTTGTAACGGATGACATATAAAAAAAAATAGTGGTAACCAGTTTGACGATCCCATGAATATGCTATTTTTGGAAAGGAGTCAATATATCGAAAATAGAACTGCAAAAAGGAGACTGCTCATAACCCCGAAAGAAATCAGGAGCGTAGACGAAAGCTGGCTAATTCCGTGCTGGAAGACAATGACCCTTTCAGTATCCCTGTCCTCATCTTCTTTAGGGTTAGTATTGAGAGACGACGAGAAAATGGGGGGTGACTGAAGGTTGTAAAAGATTGTTGAAAGTCGACGGCTTGAATTGGCTTAGTGGCGCATCGGGTAGAAATCGGCAACCGTATTAACTTCACGTTCTCCGTTTCAACTGCACCAAAGGTTGTTTCAGCAAAAGGACACGGCAAAACCCATTTTTCGATGAATTGATACCCCTTTTTTAGACAAGCCATGAGTCTCCCGTCGTTTCTATAATAATACCCTCAGAAGTCGCCGAATATCGCCTTACTCTCGAGCATCGAAAGAAGCGCGCCTCCCTTATCGACCATTACGATCACGATCTCCGCAACAACGCAGAGTTGAAAAATGGCAGAGCCCCCCGCGAAAAGAGCAAGACGAGTCGATAGCTCGACAATGTGGGACTTAGACGAACGAAAAACGCGTTCTCCTGAGCCGGACTCGGATATTGGCAGAAGCCCTCGGCGTGACGCACATCAAAAGGACGATCGGCGGCGTGAGGGGCCTCGTGACGACAGAAGATATCGTTCACGCTCAAGAGATCGGGTTGAAAGGCGCAGAGAAAGGAGCAGGTCTCGAGATCGGCGTGACCGGGACCGTGACCGTGACCGCGATCGCGATAGGACAGATCGGGATAGAGATGGTCGGGGAGCAAGGGACAGTGATATAAGCGCGACCAGAGAAAGACATTACGATAGGCGAGGTATGCTGTATCCTACTAATGAATTTGGGTTACGCATACCTAATGCTTTTCAAGGATATCGAGACAGATACCGCGACCGCTCCCGCTCACCTACTCGGAATGGGAATAGGGACAAGGCTAGGACTCCACCACCTCGAGGGCCTAAGGGAGATCGCAGAGACGAGCGCGAAGATAATCGTCCGTATGGCAATGGTGTCCCACATTCACCGTCACGACGAGACAAGGACGAGATGGAGTTGGATCCCGCAGTACCGATCGAAGAAGATGAGATGGAGGCGCTGATGCGCAAGACCGTGGGTTTCACAAGGTTCAGGAGCACGAAGAATACTAAAGTGCCTGGAAACGACGTCTACGGTGTGCGGAAAGAGAAGAAGACTGTGTACAGACAGTACATGAACCGTGTAGGCGGATTCAACAGACCCCTCAGTCCTTGATGCAAAGCGACACTGCAACTTCCTGATGCGCAACTTCCTGATGCAAAAATCGCCAAGAACTTTCTATTTCCGTCGACTTCTTCTCCTCATCTTCTTCATCCGGACAGTTTCTTCAGTTCTATTTGTCATCCGTTGTGCGCATTTACCGGAGTAAGTTCTGTTATGGCAAGCTCTTTTGTATGTCTTAAGTCTGGGCGGGATATCTGGAGTGTTCATATTCATTCAAACCAGACAAGAGCTAGCAGCTAGGTCATGCTTACCAAACCCTCAGTACAATACCAATAGCTTTCTGGCGATGAGAGCAAAATAATTATTCTTCTTCCTGTCGGCTTTCAAGTCAAGGTCCTTTTCAAGTTGACCCACCCATATATACTGCGCTAATGCATAGGTAAACACCCACTCTGAGACTCTCGTAAAAAGGCAGAGCATTGTTCGCCGGGAGACAAAGAGCTGCAATAATACCAGAGAAAGAACAAGCAATGATCCTCTGCAACAGCCTGTCAATGCTACAGGCGATCAGGAACCCACGCAACAAGTCAGGACAAGGCAGCCTCAGCATTGGAAGCGCGAGGTTCCCCTCCGCCCTCAATGGATCCCAGGACACAGTGACGACCCTGGAAGTGATGCAGCAGACAAGCTAGCCAAACCAGAGTTAGCCCAGACAAAACACACCCTTTCAGCCGCTTTTCTTCACAAGAAAGGGCGGCCAACTTCGCTGGATCAACACGAGGTTGCCAGCCATCCATACTCGATGATTATACGACCCGTTGCCACGAAACTGTGCCTATGCCTACCTAGGCAGCACTTACCCTCTGTGGGCTGGCCACTGCTGGCTGGTACCTACGGTGAGCCTTATGGATTGCAAGAGAATGAATAATGTGAAGTCATCTATCCATCGATCCAGCTGACAGGTGCCCAACACTGCCTACTCACTCTGGACTTCATTGCCCTACTCAATCTCGTGCTCGCTCAATCCTTGCAGGCTATATAACTTAGACAACTTGGCATAGAGTCTGATATACGCAGAACTATTATTTAGAGTGATCTGTCTTTAATGTTGCCTTAGACTGAGTCTGTTTACTACTTAATAAGGTACAGGTGTGATTTCCTTGATAATAATCCTGAGATTATTGATGCCACCAGCACGCAAGCAAAGAAAACCTTCTTTATATGATATAACTACTATCAGTTAGCTTCATATCCCCTTCACTCCAATATGCTGGCACTATATTGTATTAATTCTGCTTCTACTAGCTTTGCTGCTGTGTTGCAGCCAACAGTAAGCTTACTTCTTATATTTGCACTGTTGCGGGTTAGCTGTGCTAACTTAATAACCCTGACTTATATAAGTAACTTGCTAGAGTTATTCCACTAGTTAGTTAATATAGAATTAAATTTAATTATGAAGACAAGTATTATCTCACCGATGTCGAGCATTTGGTTCCATCTATGCCGGCCCAAACACACTTCCCTCTGTAGGTAGGAAAGAGGTTTGTATCAGGACTCTTGTCCTCACTGTACTAGTCAAACAGACCTGTCCTCGATATCTCAACCATTCTCATTATGCTGAAGCTGGATGACTGATGGCGGACAGATGTACTTCAATGAGAGTTGGCATTTGGAATGTCGGTTAAAGGATGTACAAAGGCCAGATAATTTTAACCCTATTGTCAATTAGGTGCTGGAATGTTTGCAGTACATGGAAACCTGGCTGCATTGGCTGTTAATGTTTATGCATTTTGACCAAATGTCATCGGAACTATACCTAAGGAAATGATAGTAGAAGGTATGTGCTGATTTGCCTTTGTACATTGATGAATTGGTGGAGGGGTTTTGTGTGAATGTCAGATGGTTTCTTATACAGAATGGATTGGCTTATAAAAGGAAATGTGCAGATCGAATGGGGCTCAGACTATGAGCACTTCGTCTTGGTCCGTTCCATCCTCTTCGTCGGATACAAACTTCGTCTTCCAATCGTACCAGAACTCGTAGCTCATTACGCTATGATCATCGTACATCAACAGCAGCCGATATCGACGCGAGACATTCCAGCCTCGCCAATGCTCCTCTGGCTGATAGGCCCGGGTTGCTCGAGCGTGACACTCAGGCAGCGTGGATGGGTGTTGTTGTTCACGCTCTGTGGGAGATTGTCTCAGCCCCGGCCCTGAAGGAAACGTCGGCGCGTATATCTTTCTCGAATCACCCTTGATATTGGAGGATGAAGTGAAGGTGTTGCTCCTGTCGTGATTCACATCTTTAAATTGGAAATGCAATTCTTTGCCGTCGCCCAGGTCGCGAGGGATGTAGGGCACATCTGGAGGCATCTCAAATCCCTGAATGGGGCTGACGCTCATGCCTAACAGAGGCACTAACGGACGCTCGCCGAACTTTTCCTGACTCTCAAACGGGACTATCCAGTCGACTCTGAATGACAGACCGGTTTCTTCTGATTGCGTGAGAGCTATCACGGCCGCACGGCCTTTCTGGGATGCTGCGACAACTATGCCATGCTCGGGAATGGATTTGACCATATTAAATCGATCGCACGCCCGTATGGAGACTATGGGTCTGGTAAAAGCCTGTCGGAGCGGCGCTCCACATACAACATTGGGTTGTGGCGCTAGAGGATGAGGAAGCAGACGGATGTCTGTCTGCGAAAAATGAAGGATTGGAAAATAAAACCGAAAAAGAGCTGGAGTCAGTAGCAATGTTTGTCAGCATGCCGCTGTTAAGTGAACTGCAGAGGACAACCTGAGCTACATACCATCGGAACCCGAGTATGCAGGTAGTCCAGTGTCCGAAATTGCATCACTGTCGGAGGAACGATCCTCAGCGTCGTCCATCTCCTCATCAGCACTATCACTCTCTTCTCCCTGGTTGTCCTCGTCGATATCTGAGTAATCTAGATTGTCGTCAAGATATTCTTCGGCACCCGGGATGTCGCCACCTAAGGCTTCTAACAGTGCAAACTGAAGAAACTCCGCGGTTGTCAAAGGCCCTTGTCCACGATGACGCCGAAGATTGACGTTTGCGTTGTGGAACCTATTTGTGTTCCCATTGTCGCCAGATCCGACAGCATCCTGGTTCGAAGCTCTCTGGCTTGGGTCCGAATTCACATCCGACTCACTACCTTCGTCCTCAGCAGCCGAACCATCTGCAGCATGATAATCAAGGCTATCGGCTGCCTCAGAGGGATGATTGGCTTCACCAGCAGGCTCCGAGTCTGAAGAGCTGCTGCGGTTCGGGGGCTGACCTTTGGGCGTTGTCGAATAGGCCCGCTTATGAGTGTCACTACTGATGCGACAGTCCGCTCCAAAGATGTCAGGCAAAACCGATTGATCAGGCTCAGACCTGACTGCGGGAGGAAAGTAGTTGTAAAGATGTGAAGCATCTGGTATACGATTGCTCAATCTCGTAACGTCGAGAACAACCTGGCCCCGCTTCTTGCGACGCAAAGGCTGGCCGCCCAAGGCCTCTTCTGTAGTCTTGACTTGCTGAAAGGTGCGTGGGTCAAGGGCGAGGACGGCCCAGCCTCTTTCAGTGCTGTTTAAATTAGCATAAGTTGTCACTCAATACTAAGGATATCTGTCTCTTACTCATTACGCAAAGTCTCGGGAAACGACCTGATGGTAGATTCGTTGAAGTGATAGACGTTGAAAGGGCCCAGGCTTTCCCAGATTTTCCACACAAGAAGCTTGTTGTCGATGTCAGTACTGACCATCCATGTTCCATTGGGATCAAGATCGCAGTTATAGAACCCGACAGACGGTATGTTCGAAAAGTGCCCAGTGTAGGTGAGCTTGATGTTTCTTGTCCGATGCTTCTCCGGCATGAGTCGTTGCAATTGCGCAAATTGTTCATTTCCCCTAATGTCCAACCAGGTTTGATCGTAGTCCGTGGAATCGGGCTCATTCTCCAGCTCATCGCTACCGTCTTTAGATGTAGGATTCACCAGCGCAAATGCGAAGACAGTGATGAGACCTGTGTTTGCGCTTACAGCGATAAGCCGCGCAAATTTATGTATAGCCAAGCCCCAGGCGCTCGCCTGCACGTACTCAACGAAGAACGGGTCCACCTGGGAACCGTCAAGCGGGCGTTTGCCGTCCTTGTTTTCTGTGGCGCGCTTCAGCGCTGAGAAAATTGCCTCGACTCGATAACCGCAGATATTACCCGAGTCAGTGACAAGGAGCAACACTTCCTCGCGACCGAGATCATCCACGAGAAGGTTGTTAATGGCATGAGGGAAGATTGGCGATATATAGCCACTGCTATGGGGCTCCTTCATAACAGGAGTAATGATCATTTCAGGCTGGGAGCCAAGCATCTGAAACGAGCCAGCAGGCTCCCATACATAGATTTGATGGCTGTAGGCCACGAACAGCAAGTTACGACGCTGAGAAAGTGCGGTCTATAGATATATCAGCAACAGAGTTCCTACAGCACGTACAGGAATGAATTTAACTGACCAAATTGTTCCGCCAAGTTGCGGTCTGGGGAGGTATAGAGTCCGACCTGGGGCAGCGTCAGTGTCATTCAGAGACTCTGGAGACAGAGCAGAGCTTGGACATACACAGGAAACTAAGAAACGTAGTCAGCCAGTATCAATCCAGGAGCAACTGCGCTACACACCCTGTGTGATCCCTTTTCGACATTCAGCGGTCGGAGATGTAGGCCGTCTCTTGGGCGAAACCTCGGTCCCGAAGGTTCTCCATCAGGACCACTGCGAGACGCCATATTTTGGTAAATTACAGCGGTTTTCACTGACAGTAGAGTGCCAGGAAAAAGGCTTCGCGATTCTACCAAGCGCCTGAAAGACAAGGAAGCAGAGTGGACGATTCAAGATGGTAAGAAGCGGAGGAGAGACGATAGTATGGTTTAAGCCATTAACATGAGGGGTATATGTACCAGACTGAAGACAACATCACCGAACCGCCCGGCTATATCGCATTAATACATCAAATAGATGAATTTGAGGCATGTCTCAATTGTAGAAAGCGACGGTCGTCCAAAGCCGCCTTATGGAATGGACTGGGTTGTTAGACGATATACCTCGTCCTCTTGTGGTAATCAATGAGGTCAGACAATATTTCTTGATGCCTCAGGCGTATATGCGCACGTGCCTTGTGCCCCCTTCAGTGAGCTGATCACCAAGTCTCCATCTGTTGACCATTCACCACCGAACTTTTTGCGAACGGGATAAAGCCAGGATGGATCTTGTTGCAGGTGTTCGCAAAGAAGGCAGCCGGTAAGCACTCCGTGAAATTCTCATTACCCGCGTATGTACTTTATAGATATTGACTGTAACAGCGGCGGCCGCGATGAGTTTAAATGGTCTGATGTGAAGGACTCGGCGCATCGCGAGAATTACCTCGGTCATTCTCTTATGGCCCCCGTCGGTCGCTGGCAACAAGGTCGTGATTTACAATGGTATGCCAAGGGCGAGACAACCGCGGAAGAGCAAGCCCGAAGGGATCGTGAGGAGCTACAACGGGTCAAACAAGCGGAGGAGGAAGCCATGGCACGAGCCTTGGGCCTACCCCTGCCAGCATCGAGTGGGAATGCCAATGCAAACCTTACACCCCTAGGCGAAAGGGAGCCGGAGACTGCGGTCCAGGATCCAGCTGATAGGAAGAGAGAACGGAGAAGTGAGCGGAGTCGGAGTCCAGGAAGGCATCGTATACGGGATCGCGAGAGCAACAGAGACAGAGACAGAGACAGAGACAGAGACAGAGACAGAGACAGAGACAGAGACAGAGACAGAGACAGAGATCACAGACACCACAGGCATCACGAAGAGCGCGAACGTCATCATCGAAGCCATCGTCACCGATCGAGATCCCGGTCGCGTGATCGCGAACGTCGGAGGAGGCGAACAAGTTCGCGGTCCACGAGCAGAGTAAGGGCCGGGGAAGATGGTCACCGCAGACACAGGGAAGACCATCGTCGAAGACATCCGAGGAATCATGACTCCGATCCTTATCGACGCCGCTGAGTTTTCTGACTGCATCATATTCACGACTTTTTGCACATGGAGTTGGGCGCTTGGAGGCAAATGTTAGTGTACAGGTGTTTTGATTCCCTCTCTAGTATATCAATATATTCAATGATCTTTGATAATTCTACAACTCGTCATGACCTATCTGCTTGTTGACAGGCAGGTCAGGCATTGACATGATCTTCACTACCATGCTGGTCCACCCTGTGAAGTGTTGCGTCCGTTGCCCCTTTCCGGTTTCAGGGTTGTACTGTTCCCAGGCAAATCCGGTCTCCTTCCATTGTCTGAAGACGTTTTCGACCAGGTTTTTCCGCAGGCTCGAGTACATCTCACGGGCCTGTTCTTGATGAGGACCAGATGTGGTTGCAATGTCCTAGTCGGCACAGTCAGTCTATCTGTTCGAACCGATATTTCAGATGATGGCTCTACTCACGTAAAGATTCTTGACCACCAAATAGTTGATGGGCATCCAGATCGGGCTTCTCCAATAGTTCTCGGCAGTACCGTAGAACTCGTCTTTCTTGCTCAAGCTGCGGATACCGTAGTCGCTCCAAAGCTCTTCTGGATCCCTGATCAAATCCAGAACAGCCTTGAGTCGAGGACTATCAGGGTCCAGCATGCCTGTCAAGAACGGGAAGAGGGAGACATAGCCCTTGTGACAAACATGGACACTTTCCTCGAATTCGTCGATGGTCGCATCACAGTACGTCTGTGCCTCATCATCCCAATGAAGATCGTCGATGTTGCGCGCAATCGCCGTTTCGTACCCTCTAAATTCTTCCACATCCTCGGTCTCGCCAACAAACTCGGCGATCCGTCGCATGGCACGAGTCATCATTCCCATCCAGCTGATCAAATCCACATGCAGCTCGCCTGGATGGGGAGGCTGGGGCGGGGATAATCATCAAGTCCCGAAGTGAGAATATGCTGGACGGACCTTCCTCGCCAGCGGTATGCTTCTTTCGTGGAAAACGCTTCCCGATCGTACGACTTGATGTCTCCTTTTTGGGTAGTCCTGTACCAAAAGTAATGCCGCTTGAGCAGCGGATAGATCGATCGAATAAATGCTTCGCCCATTTCCGGCTTTTGTAAATAGGTCATACGCAGACCGTCCAGCGCGCCCTGGTCGCCGAGGGCTTGAGAAGCGGCGCCCTTGCTAGCCTCCAGCTTATCCAGGAAAGCCTCCAATACCATGAACAGAGTCGGCGGGTTGGCATAATGGGGATACTGTACCGTAAATTCTGGCGGCACCTTGCTGCGGGCTTCGGCACCAAGGATTTGCTCTCGAGCAATCCAGCCATCCTCGTCCATCAGATTCAGCCAGCTCTTCACAATTTCGAGCCTTTATCTGAGTTAGTAGGCCAATTCATCAAAGGATAGTACAGAATAGGGAAATAGGCCAGGTAAATCGAGGAACATACGCGAGGGCAGTGTCCCAGTCAATCACAGGTATCAGGTGGAATCCCTCATCCCATAGAAATCCTCTGGGGAAAAAGGGGCGAGACGGGACACAAGTAAAGAGGTCCTTGGGCCCTTCAAGAACAGGCTGAGCTCGGCCCCTCGCCTCGGCCGTCTCCTCCCAGAAACCTTCGTTTTCTTCATCGTACTCTGGTGCTGCGGAGCGGTCAACAACATCATCTCCATGGAAAAAGCCAATGCCGCCAATGAGATTCGACAACATAGCCTTGGAGAACTCGGTGTATTCCGCAGTATCGAAAGGAGACTGCGGTGGAATGACTTTGTTGAAGCGTTCAGAGAACGATTGGGATGCGCTGGAGATCTCTTCGGTGAGCTTGTCGGCTACATCCCTTTGATTAGTATTCACGTTCTATCGGCCAGCAAGGCCAAGAGTAGGTAGGAGCTTACACGTCACGGGATCTGGAGAAGACCCAGAATTGAACAGGATATCGAACTGGAAATTGTAAGCCATGTACCGATGAGCAAATGGCAATCAATACCTCAAAAGCACCCTTGAACACCTTCTGAACGAGGTGAATGTTCCCGTCGCCAGGCGCGCTTTTGATCGTAAAAACTTGCGCTGGAGGAGGAGGATTCTCCTGACCAAATCTCTGTATAATCTCATTGACTTCGGACTTCATCTGCGCGAAAAGAAGGGCTGTACATACGTCAGCGCCATTTCATATGAGAGAGCAATTCCTCGGGACGCTGAGCCTACCTTTCACCTGCCAGAGGTTCTCAGGTGCAATGGTAGAGCTGGAAACCAGAGTGCGATCCAGCGGCTTGTCCTCGTAGGACGGGTGCCCATGTTCAGGATGCTCATTGGTTCCAGGGCCAGCAGTCACATCGATGGAAAAGTCTGCAAGATCGGTTGTATATCCTGTCAATTGCACGTCCCCCTCGTATCCAAGAGGACCAGATTCCGTCGCAACACCCAGATTACCCAGACCCTCCAACGTAGCATAGAAGACGATCGATGTAGGCTGGTCTGGGGAACCGTCTTCGCGCGGGACACCTCTCACTCTGGCAGCCCAGCTGCCGCCGTGTTGTCCACCAGGGACCTTGATGAAGTCGATTGTCAAGTCCAAGGAGTTGCCGGTGTCATGGATTGTCTGCCGGCCGCCTTTCCTGATATCGTACTCGTCCCAGCCATAACCAGCCATGCCTTCATTCTGCTCGCAAGTATGTCTGAAGTCTTCGAATAGGGGGTCAGTATCCAATGCAATGCAATCGCCCTCTAAATACACTAATGGTGCTGCAAACATACTGGCTTGCGCGGTGGCATAATTGTCCACCTTAGCCCACATCAACCCGGCGGACAGACTATTGGCGATGCGAGGGCGGACGCCAAAATAGAGATTGGACTTGTAGGGACCCCATAATAACGAGTCGTTGTTGGCCTTCGCTGTCTCTGTGGTCAGGACAGATAAATCGTCTGCGGCGGAGGCTTGACCAGCGGAGACCACGACCTTATAGAGAAAGGGCGCGAGAAGGAAATGTAAGTTCGGGAAATGCATATCTAGGAATGCATCGGAGGAAAAGTAATACCCTCAATATTCGGCATGAAATTATAACATGGAGACCTTGCAATTGGAATGGTTCTCGACGCTACGGAGTACCTATGATCTGTCCTAAAGCGGAGAGCTTCTAGCTTCCGCTCCACGTGGCCCAAGCTCCTATACCAAGTCCCAACTGTCCGTCTTCTACTCCGTATCTACTTGAGCAACCGAAAGATAGAGCTGAGATGATGAGGTACAAATTATTTCCAGACATGGCTACAACCAAAAGTGACATGATTCTAGCCTATATAGAGCTTTCAAAGAAAGTTCCTCGGATCTAGAGACCCGATCTTGGCGCTCTTTGCATCGCCATCGAAGACAAATTCACTGATAAGCTTGCCGGTCCCGGGAGCGTTTTGGATACCCCAGCAGGTGTGTCCAGCGGCAAGGTAGAGCCCTTTAGTGCCAGTGTGGCCGATCAAGGGACCTCCCCGTACGGTGACGTTGGGCAAGTAGCAAGCTTGCCGTGCGCAAACCTGTCCATCCCGAAGCTCATCGGATATGCTTCCCACTTGGTCGATGATGTCCTGGCACCGTCTCTGGTCCACTTCAACATCTGCTGTGGTCTTTGGAAGCGGGACAACCTGGTCACCCTCGCCACAAGCGTATACCGTCTCATCGGGGCGGGCGTAGATCTCCGGGGACACGACTGTGGGGCGTGAGGGCTTCGATGGATCGAAGTTGGCGGGTATTTCAATGTTCGTAAATAGAGTATGAGCGCTCACCGGCTTGGTTGGTCGGATGACAACACTGTGAGCGCGCATTGCCGATATGGGAGCTTCCGGCATGACCGTTCGTGTCCAGGGACCAGCGGCAATAATCACGTCCGTCGCCGAAATTGTGCGCGACTCTCCGGACTCCTTATCATTGTATGTAACTGACTCCACAGCATCACCTGCGTAGCCAATGTTTGTCACTGAGCCCAACTTGATCTCTGCGCCTTTCTTCTCGGCAAGCTTTGCGATTGATGTGGTGAAGAGGTAAGGGTGGACTTGAGCGGTTTCGCCAGGGTCGCTCATGCTCTCATAGCCTCTGATAAGTTGGGGATCAATCCAATCCAGATCCTGCGGAAATTTGGCTTTCCTTAGTTTCGCAATAGCAGCCTCACTCCGCTTTTGGAGGGATAATGAGCTTCCCGAGTCCTTCTCGCCGGCGTCCTTCCTTTCATTAAGAGGACGGCCTTTCACAACAATCTGTCCACAGCCAATTTCTCTATAACCCCATCTCTCTTTACCGTTGTGTTCCTCGGCCAGATCCGCATGCAACTTGTAGCTCAAAGGAACTATACTGCTTGGATATGCCCATAGCGCCAGCAGTCCCCCAGCTTTGCCCGATGCTCCACCCGCAATTTCTGTGGCCTCGATCAGAGTCACTTTATGGCACGCTGGATCGTACGATGGATGTCTTGTCAGATAATACGCCGAACAGCATCCAATGATACCGCCGCCTTTGGGAGCATCTAATCAGCTTTGCGCGCCTCAAAATGTGTGCGGGGTAGTTCAGATTGCAAGTAGACCATAATTCATACATACCGACGATAACAATTTCACGACGCTCGCTCGAAGCCGACATCTTACGTTGCAGAAACCTTATGGAAGCCACACTTACGGAAGTTGCTGGTATGCGTTATTAGATAGATACTCTCTGGAAGGGAGGTGTGGGGAATATAAAAAGCGGCTATATATGGCACTCTTCATCCCTATGACGCAAGAGTTCAACAAGTACACTTAGGTCCAAACTGCTATCTCCGGGGCGTATGTCAATAATTCCTGGGAAACCATACAACAGGTAACCTACAGACAGCCACTACCACAATTAGCCTGCCGAAGAACCAGCCGGAAAAAATGGCTGTACTGGTATGGGATGGTTCTGGATTTGTGCTATTTGTTACTTTCTGGAACTTGGCGGGTATAGTGCGGCATTGTATTGGGATGATTGTTTTGTTGAACTTAGATGGATGTTCAGGCTTCTCTTTCTTCCAGAAAATTGGAGGTATCTTGCATTGTACATCGGGAAATTGACAGAATATGTTCGCACTGGTACAGCTTTTTTCAACAGACACAAAACACGCAATGCTATGAACAAAATGTCGCTAATCATAAATATATGCATCACATCATTATTTGATAAATGCATGCAAAAAGATGTTCTCTCTTAAAGGCAGTTGGGCATCATCGTGATAGTTCATCGCTAGATTATAGTCGTCAAGAATGCCTGATTGTTGTGTGGAGCATATCAGGCAGTCAGAGGTCGTCATCCAATTCGTCACTGTCCCATTCATCTTCACGATCATTCTGAACCAGATCCAAAAACCTCTGGAGGCCTGGCCGATGGATTCGTCCTGGTCGAGGCGGCTGAACTACAGCTTGTCCGTCATGTTGCCGAGGACGCGCTCGCACCTCAGCCATCGCTCGCGCCTGCGCCTGCCTCTCTGCGGCTGCTGCCCTGCCTGCTGCATCCAGAACATTCGCATCATTGCCACGATTTCGGCGACCATGACCACCTGCAGCTTGGTTGACTTGCGGTGGCACAGGTGCAGGAGGTGGAGGTCGCCTTCGGTGTGCGATCTCTTCTTCACGGAACTCCAGGACAGGAGCACCTTCGTCATCACTGGGTTCATCAAAATCGACCAGGTCATTAGGTATTCGGTGTAGAGCCTCCGGACCTTCGGGATCAATGCCATCTCCTCCCTCCAAATCCCACAGTCGATTATAACACTGGCTGTTGATGTCGTTGAAGTGCCGGTAAGGGTTGTCTTCAGGGAGCCAGCTCGAACAGAGATAGCAGAAGTGGGTACTGCACTTGAAACATATCATATGGTTGCAGCCCATGCGTTTCTGACAGGGAGCATCGCATGTTGGGCAAGGTGAGGTGTAAAGTCTTAGGTACTCCTCTGTCGCTTTCTCTTCGGCTGACAGCTCCGCCTCCCGCCGCGGGAAGCACCGCACCAATTCACCATGCCAACCTTTCTTACAGACGCTGCAGAAGGCATAGTTGCAATCTTCACAGATGGCAACACGATCCGCCATTGGCGGCAGTTGGGCCTCATCTCCGTTCGGATCAAACGCAAAGCCTTCCTCCTCGTCAGACGAGTCAACGTCATCTGACATGGGATCGATGGGCTTCGGATGCTTCTTCGACCGAGCTGCACCCTGGCACCACTGTCGAGGGCAGTAAACTGTCGACTTGTCAGACTCGAGCTTCTTCTTTCTTTTCAGAAAGACATAGCGCTGGACCGTCTCTTGGTCCAATGGTATCTGAAGCAGCTCGCTCGGACTAAGTGTTCGATCGTGCTTCTTCCGCTTTTTCAACTGGTTCCCTGTCTCGGGTATACCGTTTTTCTCCTTGCCGCAATCGGGTGCCAGACATTTGACGCTATCAACATCTCCCTCAGTGATACAACTGTTGTAGAAGTCTTGCAGGCATGAAACGCAGAAAACATGGGAACAAAACAGAAGGCGGTGGCAAACCGATCCCTTCTTGGGCTCGAGGCAAACCCCGCATTCGAAGGTCTCTTGTTCGAACTTTTCCCGCTCTGCCTTGTTGTTGAAATCCAGCAATGCGATTTTGATGTCACGGGGAAGTCGTACTTCCTGGTCAGCCGTGTCGCTGACGCTAAAAGCTGTTTCTGCCAATTGCTGGAGGTGATCAATATACGTATACACAACAAGATCCCTCCCGCATTCTTCCCACAGACGGTTGCCATCCTCCGTGAGGCGCAAGATGATCGAGTGCGGGAGCCATGGTGGATTTGTCTCAAGCCTGAAAATGGGCGCCTTTTCAGAAGGGTACCCTTCCGGGAGATCAATCTCAAGACTGAGAGGCGGAAGGTGCGAGAGCGTATGAACGTCCCGTCCGTCGTCCTTGGTTGCAAATCCGAGTCCAACATCGCTGGCATCGAGGGAAGTAGGAGGAGTCAAAACCTCTGGGAATCCAGCGTCTAATTGTTGCTCGAAGCAGACAGGTAAGGGCGTTGAAGGTTTGACGGGTATATCCAAAGAGGCCCTGAAGGGAAAGGCTGGATCTATTTTGATTTCAGGGAAGATGGCAGCGATGGAGGACAGCTCGACTGAGCGTTCATCCTCCGAACAGAAGTCTGACCCCGTCATGGCGAACAAGACAGAGGAAAAAGAATGCAGAATTGCTGATGGAGATTATCGAGATAAGAGGTTATATCGGGTGGCGAGGCGGAGTTTGGACGGAGTTATTCCAAACCCAACCATAGTATAAAATCGGGAACGCTCGTGCCGTCTATAACATTCTGCGAGGCAATGACCAACTGGAAAATAAAAAGTAGTTTATATTGCCGACCAATTTGTAGAGATATACCAGGGGTCGAGGAAAGTAACGTGGTGTCGGAGACTCGATGAAACCTATCCGTGTCTATGCATTAGTAAAAGAGGCCCAAGGTAGTTTGAAAAAGAGTGGCGGCGGTCGAGAAGACGACCATGGATGGATTCTACCTACCCCTCAGGTACAATAAACTCGTTGGATGATCACAATTGCCTATGAAGGCAATAGACCCATCAAGCGAAGAGATCGATATGGAGTCAAAGCGAGTTCTTGGACTGTTTGCAGTTTCCTAGAGGGAGTTGTCGGAGTAGATGAGTGTGAGAACAAAATTTCGCGATGATAACGTGGGGAAAAGTGCGTCATGATTTGATTATATAGATAAGAAACCGAGTAATGAGAGATGGGACTGGTCTTGTGCCTGAGACAGCAGAGGAGCTCCGAAGAAGCAAAGAGGAGGAAAGGAGCAAAGAATACAGACTGCGTGAGTCATGAAAAGGACTTGATAAAAATAAGCGATTGCAATGGGCAGCAAAACGATTGTTGTTTTGTTGCTGCCCCAGGCGCTGCTCTCACTTCTGTGCAGGCTGTATGGTTCTTGTAATTTATCTACTTTTCTAAAAAGGTATTGACTGACATGTTGAATGATTGCCACAAATAAGAGGTACTTGTTTACTTTTTACCTTATTCTTTTTCCATTAGATTTTTGATATTTCGTGGCTTATCTTCGACTCATTATCCGATGTTATTTCCCCTCCCCCTCATTCCCCGTGCTGCTTTTGGTGTTCCTCAGCGGGATCTCGTTCATGTGATAAAAGTGGTTAAAGCAGCGCCCATGCACGGCCACGCCATCGAGGACAACCGCTGTACTCTGTGTTTCTATGCATGTTCGACCAGCATTGAGAATACTTGAAGCATGAATTGCGCTGTAGATCCCAGGTGACGGCGGGATTTTTGATACGTACCGCACTGCCCACTCTCTTCATGATGTATACCAGTTGACGATCATCGGTCGAGATTCCTATCAGTTATCAACAGCATTCAAGGGGTGCAGTGCAGGTGCTTACATCATTCGTCAGAATAGATAGTCAAGCTGCCTATCTATCGTATACACCTACGAGACAATATGGAAGAAACACCGCTGGCATCGCTGTCGTTAACCCACGTGCATTATGTGAGTCTCTGTTCCGAAAGGACTCAATCACGACCGGTGATCTCGAGCAGAGCTTTGGTACTGACTTCCATACTTCATGTTCATAGAACCCTGAAGACCCGTTATCCTTCCTTTCTGCCTGGCTCGCCCTTGTACCCCAAGCACTATGTGTGGCCTACGTGACCCTTATCTGGGCCTCGAGAGAAGTGGAGGTAATTTCCATGTTTGCTGGGCAAATGGGTTGTGAGGCATTCAATTTTGCCCTGAAGCGAATTATCAAAGAAGAAAGACCAAAGCGTATGTGATAGAAGCAGAAGAAACACACGGCGACTTAGGCTAAAATCTGAACTTATCCAGAAATGCTCGGGAAAGGCTACGGGATGCCGTCGTCCCATGCCCAATTCGTTACATATTTCGCTGTCTACCTGACTCTGTTCCTTCTCGTCCGGCATGTTCCAACTGTTCCAAAGCCTGACACGACTTCCTATTATCTCATGCGGGTGGCGCTGGCTGCCGGGGTGTGTCTCGGAGCTGGCGCGGTGGCCACCAGCCGCATCTATTTGAACTATCATACTCCAAAACAGGTGCTAGCAGGTTGCGCTGCTGGCGTTCTGTGTGCGGTATCTTGGTATGTGGCTACGAGCTTTTTGCGGACGAAGGGTTATGTCAATTGGGTATTGGATCTGGGAATATCTCAATTCTTGAGACTTCGAGACTTAGTGGTAAGTCAGGATCTCGCAGAAGCCGGATGGCTGCAATGGGAAAGGCAGCGAAAGTTGAAGCGGCGAGGCCACAGTGATCAACCGTCGGCCAAATCGGATTGAATATTGGAGACTTCATGGACCTACTGTTATAGCAGGTCGATCGTCCGTGTACGGGTTTCTATATGATACCCTAGCTTCCAGCGTGCTTGCTGAAATAATATAGAAATGCATCTTATCTTAAGCACTGAGTAAACTTTTAAGGATTTAGAATTGGAGATATACTTCCCACGTCAATAACAATCCTGCTGTTGCCCTGTTCGCATTACCCTGCAGCTGCATGCTTGTAGATAGTTCTTCGCAAGCGGTAAAGCCATCGCAGCCAATCTAGCATCTCTCAATCTTACTCGAGCCACGTCCTGGTCCAAAAAGTGGTACAGTCTTTCAAAGTGTATAAGATCACGTGATGCAGCCAGCGGCGGGCGCGCGTGGACAGTCCACCGCCATAAGCGATCTCCCAACTGCTTCGTCGCTATGTGCAGAGGTGGAAATCCGCATGATGAATCTTGAGGACTGATAGCGATGCTTGGCCGTTTGAATTATCCCAGACATTCTCCTCAGTGGAAGACTTAGGCTTCTATCCGTATTTCTTTCCCTGCCCCTCTTTTTTTTGATTTCAGTTTGCTTGGAGATACATAATAGTATGGCTTTACAGTAACATTTTCCGGTTTTGTCCTAAGCCATTTCCTCGAAACATTGAGACCACTTTTAGAGCTCAATGATGGATGATTCAATTGCGTCTTCTGAACATACAATGCAGGAACATCATATTGTCAAGGCCGACGAGGTCGATCAAACCGGAACCGACATCACAACTGTGTCAGATGATCAGTTGATGGAAGAGGTCGCGCAAGGCCTGCGACAGGAGCAAGCTTCAAAAGCGACGTCTGCTGAACCAAATGAGTTGCAAGAGCAAAGACCCAAACCATCGAGGCGTCCAGAACTGCGTCGGGACGTATCAGCTCCCCCCCGCCTTTACAGCCTCCGCCTCCTGCCCCGGTGCAGCAACTGCCGGACAGGCCGTCAGACTCGTTGAGCCTGGCTCAATTAAAGCAAATAGTTCAGGACATGCCCAAGGCCGATCAACCTGCGTATGCATTTGAATACGCTGACTCTCAGCCTCTTGCGGAAGAAATTGAAGAATGGTTCCAATACAGCGAGTTTGATCGAATCATGCTCCTTGGCATGAAGTCCACATTTGAGCGAGAATGGGCTTCTTTCTGTGAGAAGCAGTCTGCAGTTTCCAATCGGCTGCCTTGGCTTGATGCCCCTCATGACTTACACAAATCTTTCATGGAACAGATAATCAATGGGCTACCGGATCGAGACATTTCTGCTCGCACCGAAGCGTTAGAGATTATTTGCTATGCATTGACTGGTATCTGGGGTAGTACCGCTGGAAAAGCAGTCCGTGACTACCCAGAAGATCTGCCCCCGCAAGCAGTCACAGATACACCCAAATCAAAATCACTGCAGATCATATGGATGCAGAGAAACGCTGAGCTTGTCAATGAGTGTTCAGGACTTGGTCCATTGCTCAGTTGCCTGTGCAAAGCTCTTGAGAAGAATCGGGGCTCACCCAATCCCGAGTTGGACGGTCTGGACTCGAACTCGGATTCCGCAAATGTTGCTGCGTCAGAACATGAATTGAACCTTGTGCTTACGGCTTTATACATAGTCGTAGAGATTGGCCGAAGACAAGAGAAACATGATCCTCAAAATGTTCCCCTGCGCGATGCGCTCATGGGGTTGAAGCCTAACCTGCCAGTTTTTCTTGTCGAGGTCATAGCACGACTGCGATGGGACGATTCAGCAAACATTCCGCTCACGCGGATCATCCTCCTTTTTTGGAAGTGTCTTCTCCTCTTCTTTGGGGGAAGCGATAGCTTGAAGAAAGCCAAGGAAGAGTTGGAGCCGCGAATGGAGGCACGAGAAAACTCTCCCAACCGGAGGACACCATTTCTGACGGCTTCCCCCTGGATTACCACCTCTTCCGGCAAGAGGTTACATCAAAATACCCTGCTTACAACCCCCGCTACCTGTCGTTCCTCTGGAGCTTGAAAATAACTCTATTCTCCCTCCTCTTCCTCAGCATCCTAGCCGCACCAGTTCATCTACCGGGCTCTTTTCCGGAGTAGGTCCCTCTGTGGCTGGTGGAAACGGCTCTATCCTCCATCACTCTGTCCACATCGCTACACCGGCTCCATCACCTCCACCGTCACCTATAGGACCCGGTGGCAAAGCGGGCAAGAAGCAGAATTACCAGACAAACCAGAACTTTCCTTTTATGTATCCTCCTTTGGATGACTCGAGCAACGATATCGGCGGAAGAGGCAGCACTGAACGGCAAGATGCACTCGTGGGAAAGAGATGGGAAGGAAGCGATGTACCGGCGTCAATCATTGAAGCCGGAAAGCTCTTCTCGACTCACGTTAAGATGACTAGAGCGATGCGCCAGCTGTGGGAAGAAAGAGAGCGTTTCATGAAATATGACCGCGGTTGGTATCTTGACGAGAATTCAGCTGGCTCAGACGAGGACCCCTCTGGTGAACTTGTTGAGGACTTGGAAAACCTGGTTTTAGAGGAGAGAAGAAAGTCGAGTCACAGTTGGGTCCCACAGAGGGAGACCGATAATGATGACATACAGCGCCGCTTAGATGCTGTCGAATCGTTCTACGTACGTGTTCCCCTCTCTTTAACATGGTTGACATACTCACGCGTTGATAGTCCCAAGTATTGGTGCACCTACAGTCGATCACAATTGTCTTCTTGAAGATCATTTTGACCAATGTCAGTGCTATGGTCAATCAAGCGAATGGTCAAAATGGACATGCCATGAGGCACGTAGCGGACAGTCTATTGACAAACACATGAAGAACAAGAAATGGCTGACTTGAGGTTAGTGATGGTTACGGGGCCGCCAATGGGTTCCCAGCTGCCCCCAATAGCTTCTCGGATAGTTTCAATGCCGATGCTGCCATTGAGGAACTTGACAACATCCGCCTGCGAGAAATTACAGGGAAGGCTATATCTGGATCTTTGTTGCTCATGTTGAAGTGGTTCAAGAGATCTCGTAAGTTACAAGTTCGAGGCCTATGTGAAGTGTTTTCTAACAGGCTGTAGATATATTAAAGTTTGAATATATGACGCAGCTTTTGCTCGATTCAAACTATTTACCCCTGATTCTGAAGATGTTCGCGCATCAAGATATCGACCAGGCGATAGCACAGAAGAACGACCGTGAAGAACTAGGGTAGGTGCTCGTCAAACACTGATCACGATGCAGTCACTAACTCTGAGCAGTTTCTTCCACTTTTGTCATGTTCATTCCGATCAGCCGCCAAATTCAGCTGATAACTCAGATGAGGACTCATCACCAAGTGAAGATGAAGCCGTACCCCCGCCTATTCTTCGGCACCGCCGTGATACAGATCCAGGCACCTCCTCAGTACGACCGTCGTCTCCCCAGGAGGCTCTTCCTGAACTGGTAGAAGGCCCTCATCGTCCTGAAGTTGACGAACTGGGATTTCCCACTGCTCCTCCGCCGAAAGAGCCCATCACGGTGTTCTCGTTCCGGAACTTCTTCTCTGCCATCAACTACCTTCACATCATGCAGAAGATTACGCGGGACAAAGCACACAGATGTCTGCTTCTTGTTCAGTACAAGTCCAGCACGATCTTACGAAAGGGGCTCAAGATTCCTGATCCCCACCTGCGATTCTACACCCTGAAATTGTTCAAATCGCAGGTGCCCTACTGTGGCCGTAAGTGGCGCCAGAGCAACATGCGTGTCATCACTGCGATTTATCTATACTGCCGTCCGGAACTACGGGATGACTGGCTGGCTGGTTCGGATATTGACGCAGAAGTGGAGGAGGCATTGCCACTGGAACAAGCCCTCAGAGGGCTGACACACTGGTGGCACCTACGTCGATACAAGGACGTGATGGGCGGCGAAGGTGGTGCGTCCATGATGGAAGAAGAGCGGGACTTCTTTGTACGCGAGTTGGAAGCTATGGGTTGGGGGTTTGCCGGTGAGGAAATGATGAATGAGGAGGCGGAAATGGCTGCCAACGGGGCCATGATGAATGGGACAGAATGGGATGGTGGCCCGTTACAGATGGAAGGATGGTGATGTAAATATCTATTAGCGTTGAGGAAATATTGGCGCTGCATTGTGTTGAAACGGCCGTCATCATTGGCATATAGCATGCTGGGCGCATCAGAGTATCAGCCGGCTGTGATGAACAAGGAACAAATACGGAGTAGATCAGTTGATAACGATAAGCCGGCAATCGATAAGCGCCGCCCACGTGACCCCCTTGCTACCGCAACTTTTTTTTTTCTGCGGAGAAAATCAGCTTTCGATCCGTCAGGTCAACAGAAAACCATCCTACCTCTAAACAGACTGGGCAGGTCAAAACCGGTGCACGTAGCAGCCGGAATCAAATATCATGTCTTCCGACGAGATTGTCTGGCAGGTTATCAACCAGCAGTTCTGCTCCTACAAGCTCAAGTGAGTGAATCCCAGCGAGCGCTCGTCGAATTCGCCGCCCGCGAAAAACAAAATCTCAGCCGATGAAATATATGCACATACTAATAACACGCTATCCAGAACAACAAAAGGCCAGAACTTCTGCCGCAATGAATACAATGTCAGCGGTCTCTGCAATCGGCAGTCCTGCCCGCTGGCCAACTCCCGGTACGCTACCGTGCGGTCGGATCCGGAGACGGGCGCCATGTACCTGTACATGAAGACGATCGAACGAGCCCACATGCCCAGCAAGCTCTGGGAGCGGATCAAATTATCGTCCAACTACGCCAAGGCGCTGGGGCAGCTCGACGAGCGGTTGATCTACTGGCCCAAGTTTCTTATTCATAAGTGCAAGCAGCGTCTTACGCGGCTGACGCAGGTAGCTATTCGGATGCGGAAGATCGCCAAGGAGGAAGAGCGGCTGGGGGAGAAGATTGTGCCGAAGCTGGCGCCTAAGATCCGTCGGAGGGAGGAGACGAGAGAGCGCAAGGCTGAGTCTGCGGCCAAGGTTGAGCGGGCGATTGAGCGTGAGCTGATTGAGCGGTTGCGGAGCGGCGCGTATGGTGACCGGCCGCTTAATGTTGAGGAGGGGATCTGGAAGAAGGTCCTGCGCGGTCTGGAGCGCAGTGGTGAGGGTGAGCGGGATGAGGATCTCGACGACGGTGAAGAGATTGAGGACGAAGAGGAAGAGGGCGTTGGTGAGGTGGAGTATGTCAGTGATCTTGAGGATGACGAGGATCTCGAGGATATCGAGGACTGGCTGGGTGGAGACTCGGCCGACGACTCGAGTGATTACGATGAGGACAGTGACGAGGAGAGCGGCTCAGAGGAGGCGTCCAGCGATGAGGAGGTCAAGAAGCCCAAGCCTGGGGCCAAGAGAAAGCGTGCTGCACCACAAGCGAAGCCCCGGAAGAAGGGTCCTCGGGTCGAAATCGAATACGAAACCGAAGGAGCGGGCAAGGAGAGCATCCTGGCTTAGAGGGGGTCATGCTCGTGAAGGAAGTGAAGGATATAGAAGAAAAAGTAATTTGTTTGAGCTACATTCACGGCGTTTCGGGTTTTTCTTCTTACAACTTACTCGTGCGATCGGGGCTTGGCATACCCAGTCATTGCATCTACTTGTTTAACGACTGATTTTGAAGCTTCAAGAGAATATTTTGTTCGACAACATGTACAGAGCCTAGGAGATTATCAAAATATGCATCATGTCTTGTCAGAATATCTGCCAGTGTTAAGTATGTTAGTACGTAGTGTTTAAGTGATTTCTCCACGGCCGGGGACTCACGTGCGGCGGTAACTGGATCCGCCGTTGAAACACGCCAGCGTAGAGTGTCTGATCGCAAGAAACCACAGTTGGTCTACCTCTGGTTTCTATAGACTTCGTGGCTTCAATGTGCCGTGGATGATTTAAGTTCACGCAATCCCATTATCCTGGACCTGCACCTTGGCTTTCAGTCGCCCGTACCGTCGAGCTTAATTAAACCTTCCATCCTCTCCCTGCGAATCGCTTCCGACCCCGCCACCGTGCAATTTGGACCTTCCTTCGCGGCCCATCTAGCTTCTGCACATATTCCTCCGGCGAATCAAATCACAGAATAATGACCTCCTATTTCTCTTCGATTACCTCGTCGTCAGCGATCTCCAACATCAGCACGCGACTCAACTCCCTCCGCCGTGCCATCACCTCCGGAGACGAGGCCGACGACCCAGAAAACGAAGACTGCTCTCACATCTCCAACGTTCTGCGTGCCTACTACACACAGAAAGGCCGGCCCTTTCCATCATGGCTCCCTCCGGACCCTAAAGCTCCAGCACCCGCCCCTTCCCGAACCATCGCAACCACTCAGATCCAGCCAGGCGCCTACGGACACGGTTCAGCGGTCACAACCTCAGCCCCCGGACGCGGTGGCGGGCTGAGTGATCTATGGGGAGACTCGGGAGCTTCTCAACAACCACCAGCATCACAAACGGCCAGTCTGCGACGAGGACGTCTGGCAGCCGGGAGCGCAGGCGCCCCGCTGTCGACGGTGCACAGCGCTCCCTCTGGCTCAATGGTGACACCTCCCTCGGGATCCCCCACACCGCCGACTGCGCATCCGTCCGGGGCACGACCTCTCCCCAGTCAGCGAGCGGGATCGTATCAGACAATTGCATCAGGCCAGGCCTCTCTTGAGCGGGCTGCATCTGCGCAGGAGAGACTCCGAGCGCGCTTGCATGGAGGGCGGTCGCCTAGCCCGGCCCAGACTCCTCCGGGCGGCAGTCGGCCGGGGTCACCGTATTACGGGGGAGGGGCAGATCCGAGTGTGCGAAAGCCGGTTGGGATGCCGGGACGACGGTAAGAGGGAGGGGAATTGGGGGTGTTACCCTCAACAGCCACTGAATGAAGTTGTTATGTCTCAATATTACTACTAATTTGGACTCCCAACGCTCGAGACGGACATCGCTGGATGGTGCCTGTCTGAGAAGTTTGTACACAGCGTTAGGCCATTTGCTTGTTTCCTGTAATTATCTCTTCAACATCATCAAATAATACTTGTATCGAATCTATTTACTATTCCCTGTCTCTTTGTGCAATCGTTGGAAGTTCATAGACTGCTCAATATTCCGTACCTGTACTGTCGGGGTGCCTGGTAGGCACGTGACCTTAGCGAGTTCCCCCACGGGCTGAATTGTTCCTTGGTTGTTCCTCTCATGGTAGACCTTCTGGGACGCCACACTAAGCCTTTTGGCACGGAATCTTGAACCCACCACGGCGAATGAAAGTCTCGGGTGCGTTTCGAGGGCAAGTACTGCCTTTCTTGGCTGATGCAGTCTCGGGTTGTGTCCGGGTTGGTGGCGTTCAGCGAGCAATCAGCATCCCGGTAGGGCCGGTCCTTGACCGGATGATTGATTCAGCAATTGGACACTTTCGGGATCGACCAGCATTAAATGCCTCATTGGCATTAGCTAACTGGCAACACTCGGAGTTTTGACCACGGACAGGTGATGCAATTGGATGGAATTCCACCGAAGTGTCGCCGACAGTTCGGGATGACTGCGTGGTGCAGTGCATGACTGGGAGGGTTAAGATTTGGCTCTGACTGGCAATGGGGTGTGCCTGGGGTTGCACTACATGAATCGAGTTTTCTAGTCGCGTCCTGAGTCGTCCACAGTCCACTCTCTTTTCTCCAGATCTCCACACCAACCGTCTCTTTGCCTCCACGGGGACTCGTCTCGTTCCCCCAGCATTTGCTGCTTCAAGTCTCCGCATTCTTTGCACTATTGTCAAAGTATGTAGATGGCACTCATTGAGTTCATCGATTTGAGTCTATCCCTGCTAGGTGAAAATGACCGATAGGAGGGGGAAGAACCGACTCAAAATGCCTCGAGGATGAGCACCACACCACCATGGTCAATTGGTCATTGGCCGTGATCGTGATCATCATTCCTTAAGCTTCGGCCATTCCCCCCACCGTGCCAGAAATGCTGGCTTGCTGCTGTAAGCCTGTAGAGTTCGGAGTAACCTGTTCCATCGGTTACGCTACCTTTTTTCCTCTCTGATTTTCTTTCTGTCCCCACTTCCCCGTTAAAGTCTTGTCCCGCTTGTTTCCTGCCCTAAACCCGTGATGACCGTCCCTCCGCGGCCCAGGACTGTACCCCGGGATGCCGTGCCCGTATAAATATCCCCCGGGTTTCTTCTTCCCTTTTTCCTCGTTGTTAACCATTCTTCTCTCGCGACATCCTTTCTACAGGCGGTTGTCCTCTTCCTATCTAGAAGACTGTGTCTTTGTAGGGAACGGCAGGTCCTCCCCTCTTCTCTTTCTACTTTAAGTAAAGCCTTCCATAGGTGAAGGTCTTTTGTACACTACCTACTGCCTCTGGCTACCTCTCAATACACTACTTCTATAATCCATTCCCCTGCGTTGCCCGTCATGGCTATCAAAGACGTCGAGGTTCCTCTCGACGACCACAAGGAGGTCGCCGAAGAGATGGATGATATTCGAAATGATCCCAAGTCCGAGGCTTTCAACGAAGCTGCCATGGATGCTGAGCTCCAGCAGCTGGAAGTACAGCTCGGTAACATCAAGAAGTCTCGGCTTGAGCTCACTTTCGCCAACCCGGCTTACTTCACTTATGTTCTGGTTGCCTTTGCATCTATGGGTGGTCTACTCTCTGGTCTGGATCAGTCGTTGATCAGCGGTGCGAACCTTACCATGCCCAAGACTTTGCATCTGTCCGCCTCGCAAGCTAGTTTGGTCAACGCCGGTATGCCCCTCGGTGCCGTCGGCGGTGCCCTAATCCTTGGTCCTTGCAACGAGTACCTTGGTCGGCGCATGGCCATCATTGTCTCCTGCATCCTTTACACTATCGGTGCTGGACTCGAAGCCGGTGCCATTAACTTTGGCATGATGTTCGGCGGCCGTTTCGTTCTTGGCATGGGAGTCGGTCTTGAGGGTGGTACTGTCCCTGTCTACGTCGCCGAGTCTGGTATGACTCCTTTTAGTTCAACCTTTTTGTGACGAGTACAGTTACTGACTGATGTCTAGTCCCCGGTAAGATCCGTGGTAACCTGGTCTCTTTGTACCAGTTGAACATTGCTCTTGGTGAAGTCCTGGGCTATGCGGTGGCCGCGATGTTCTTTGGTGTCGACGGCGACTGGCGCTACATTCTCGGCTCTTCCCTGGTCTTCTCGACCATCCTTCTGGTTGGCATGCTGTTCATGCCTGAGAGTCCCCGTTACCTGATGCACAAGGGAAGACCGGTCGAGGCGTATGGTGTGTGGAAGCGCATTCGTGGCTTCGATGCTTACGAGTCCAAGGAGGAATTCCTGGGCATGCGCCAAGCTGTCGCCGCGGAGAACGAGGAACAAGCCAGCACCAAGAAGTGGGCTTGGCTGGATTTCTTCACCAACCCCCGGGCTCGCCGCGCCATGATCTATGCCAACATCATGGTATTCCTCGGTCAATTCACGGGTGTGAACGCAGTTATGTACTACATGGGTGTTCTGATGACGAAGATCGGCTTCGACGACCGTACCAGTGTCTATATGTCGCTCGTTGGAGGTGGAGCCCTGTTGATCGGTACAATTCCCGCAGTGCTGTACATGGAGCGGTTCGGCCGACGCTACTGGGCCAACGTCATGCTCCCTGGTTTCTTCATCGGTCTTGTGCTCGTGGGAGCTGGCTACACCGTCGACTTCAAGACCTATCCCGCCACGGCTGAAGGTCTCTATTTGACCGGTATCATCCTTTACATGGGCTTCTTCGGCTCCTATGCCTGCTTGACCTGGGTGATTCCCGCTGAGGTATTCCCCACTTATCTCCGTAGTTACGGCATGACCACTGCGGACGCCAACCTCTTCCTGTGCTCCTTCATCGTCACCTACAACTTTACCGCCATGATGAACTCGATGACTCGTATCGGTCTCACTCTCGGTTTCTACGGAGGTATCGCCGTCCTTGGCTGGTTCTACCAGATCCTCTTCATGCCCGAGACCAAGAACAAGTCCCTCGAGGAGATTGACGAGCTCTTCTCCAAGCCTACCTCGGTTATTGTCAAGCAGAACATCAAGAGCACTGTCGAGATCATGCGTGATCTGTCTCACTTGCGTTTCAGAAAGGTCTTTAGCCCTAGTCCTAGACTTTAGACAGGGTCTACGATTATGTGCCTACGAGAGTGTTTATATATTGTTGTGTCTGCATTATATGTATGTCATGAGGTTTAGATGAGATGATGGGATATGTATTCAAATTGTATATATTATACATTAGCTTACATCAAGCTATAGGAATCATGAAATTATTCCTCAACTACTACTTCAGTTTAAACCTGTTGGTAATTATCTTGTTTTGTCAGTGTATGCCGTTCTGACTGCTAGTCAGATACAGGACAACAGGCAAGGGGTTAGATAGTAATACAAGCAAATGTTTTAATGCTAGATATGTCACCCTTTGACATATAGTAGCTCCAGTGACGGGAACGAAATTTGGTTGCTTTTTGAAGGACGGCGATTGAGAAAGACTTTTGAGGATGAGTTATCGCTTCAAAGTACCTCTGGTATACATCGTCTATTCTAACATACAGTATATAATGTCTATACACCCTTCCCATCATCATGCGCAACAACAGTCACGTCAACCTGCTTCCGAATCCCAGCCGACCCCGCCCCAGCTCCTGACTACTCCCACCCGTCTCCACCCCATCAAGACTATTCCGACTACCAAGTATACGATCAACACTCGCCCCATCATCGCCCCGATTCCTGGTCGACAACATCCCACGCAACCGCGAATCAGTCTTTCTATGAGACGTCTTCTGCGCTGTAACTGACGTCGTCCCCGCCCGTGTCCCCGTAAACGCTGCACCAAGCTCATACGAGCGAGACCGCTGTCCGCTACTCGTCATATAATGGAACCCCGAGAGAATAAGAGAGCGGAGACAAGGCAGCGACGCGGTGATGATCACGAGGTTTGCTTCGATGTAGCCCCAGCGGAGGAGGTTGATCGTGCCGCCTAGTGCGTCGTTGTGGATTTCGGGGAGTTGGATGGTTTTGACGAGGGCGGCGGCCATGGCACTTTATTATCATCAGCTTTAGCAGAGGGAGAAGAGAACACGGGCAGAGGGGGGTTAGGGCTTACACAAGTCCACCGCTCATGAGGGCCACCAAACTGATTTTGATCCCGAGTTTGAGGTTGAGGTGCCAGAAGATATAGGTCGGGACGACGGCCAGGTACAGATCAACGAAGATGTTGAATACTGAGGTATATCGCATCGTCAGTTCACTTTCCCTGAAACTAGGAATTCGGCCATGGGCGTACCGCTCTGGAAATACCCAAAATTGACCTGGATGGAGTCCGCGGCACAGGTCCCCTCAACCGTGTAATCCCAAAGCATGGACACAGGCGTGCAAGAAGCAAACATCAAGATGATGCAGACAGAATTAAAAACCACCTCCATGCTGGCCAGAGCCGTCAGGATGATCCGCTGCCATTTCTGGCCGCCCAGGATGGCTAGGAGGTATAACACGAAGGCGGCGCGGCCGACGGCTGTACAGAGGATCAGAAAGGCCTGGCCTACGGTGTAGAATTTTCGACCCGTCGTCGCGCCAGGCTCGGGGACGGTTGCGTCCGGTAGACCGTATCCGTACTGGACTGCGATGGTGTTTAGGGAGCTGGCGATGATACCTAGGATCTAAACCGACGGTGTTATAGAAGACTTCTGTTAGAGGGCAAGGGCAGGTACGAACCAGCGCAAAGATCATCACGACATCGTCTGTCCGGAATTGGCGAATCTTCGTTTTGGCCAGGACGCGCAGAGAGACCACGACCACCGAGGTGCTTGTCAGAACCCATATCAGGACCACCAGGCCCGTTCCGTGCGGGTTTGAGGCAGTCATTGTCATCTTTTGAGATTGAGACTTGAATATCCACACTGGCTACCCAACAACGTCACCTATCCAGCACAGAAGAACTCTGCATTGTCACACAGATAGAACTGAGAATGGTACCGTCAAAGAAGAGAAAAAGAAAAACGAAGCAAAAGATGAACCTCGTCAGGTAATAACAAACTTGACAGACATCGCAAACCCCTAGCCCAGCCCCACTGGCAACGAAGAAACCGACAAACCACCCTATCGAGATGGATGAACTTTCCCAGTAATCTTACTCCACGAGCATTTAGTCTATTGTTACTGGCGAAGGGCCCACTCAGACTCCTACTGAATCCAGCAACCTAGTCGCCGGAGCAGCACTAGAGCCCCGTGCCCGTATCGGCTTCAATACCCTAATTCCCTACGCTCTTGTTGACAGAGTTCTTCACTCCCTTGTGTACTTATCATTGGTTCCTTGCCCCTAGTCATTCTTTCACTCTGACCTTAAATACAAGCCAACGATACAATCCACGCAGATATTCTTGTCAGCGGCCTGCGAATTCAATTCAGGCTAGTGGACCCAGCACAGCCTGCTGTCACTGCCACTGTCAGTCTGTCAGCGTCATGCAAGATCCCCTACCATATAAGTACTAGTATGCGTCCTGGTAATAATGCCGACAGGCGATACCAGAGGCAGCTCATAAATCGGGACATCGGCCAGTATCCGTCCCCTCAACCGTCGCCACAACGGTCAGACCTCTTCCAGGCTCCGTAGGGCGTACTCCGTAGCTTCTAGACCTTACCTTTAGCCCTAGTCCTAGCCCCCAAGAACCCCATACAGCTGAACTGAAATCGTGTTCGGTATTTACATGCTGTGCTGTGCATTATCCAATAGTGTCGACTTACATTAGCCATAGCTATACTGTTAGTGCTTAGATGGGGAAAAAAAAAATAAAAAAAAAAAGGATTACCTGAGAAAGGGGCAGTAGAGAGTCGAGACGGCTTGAAATGTCAGTTGGCGAATCTTATTGCGTCTACAAATAAAGTTGCAGCTAAGATGGAATAAACTTCAGGAAAAATAAAAATTTCCGCTCCGCTGCCGGGTGGCATTATGTAAGAAACCTTGTTTTTGCTTAATAGGCTTCACGCTAAGCTGCTTGCGGGTAGTGACTGGACCCCTGGGTTTCTAGATTAAGTGCTAAGTAGCGAGTGCCTGACGCCAATGTGGCGAGAAGTACGATTAGCTTCTAATTTCATTTGTTCAATTGATATGCTATTTTACTTCTGTGCATGATGTCTATGTAAATAATGGATACACGAAGGTGCACTTATAAATGCCAATGACACATGAAGTGCGCAACACATGGGCAGCACTACCAGCCAAATATTTCAGCCACACTCAATATGCTGAACCGTACGCCAGCCACAGAGAACAAGATCAACACAATATCCACAACACCAAGAACGGCAGCCCCCATCATGAATCGAGGGCAGAAGATCCGGTAGAGCATAAGGTGGCGGCGCAGGTGGCCGGCCCACATCGTGGTTGCGACGTTGATCGTTGCAAAGTAAAGAGTATATGTCGCGGCCGCTTGCGCCACATCAGACAGAATTCTGGTGGCGGGCGTGCTGGATGTGGTGGATGAGCTGCTATCGTGCAGTTGGAGGGGTCGTTTCCACAACACGGTGAGAGGAACAGCAATTGCAGTGAGGATCTGCGCGCCGAACGTGTTGAGGATTACCAGTATTGGCGACCAAGGATATTGAACTGAAGACAACGGGATGAACGCAGTTTCCCATTGGATACTGGTGAGGGTGGCCTGGTGTCCCGTCTTAAAGAAGTGGAACGACCCAAGAAGACCCAAGACTACAGGCCCGATGGCAGAGCTGCCGGTGACAAGCCCATTCGTGTCAAGGATCTCAAGAAGAGAGAGGATCTGCCACAGCAGCAGGCCGATTGCCCCTTGGCCCATGGGTTTCTGCATGAGAATGATCGCCAGGCAGAAATTAATGACGAGGAGGAAAGCTCGTGTGCCATAAACATTCCCGAATCCCAAAATAGTAACGGTCTTCCTGGCCGGTTCTCTACCCTCGGATTCAGCACCGCCTTGGCTCACGTTTATGCTGACGCACGGTTTGGTGTAGACGAACGCAGTGGTTCCAGCGGCGAATGCAAGAGCAAGGACGGCCTGAGCGACGAATACGCGTATGGTCTTAAGGGTCTCCTTGCTCAAAAGGCCCCATTCACCGTCGTCGGCAGCCTCGAGCGTCCAGAAAATGGACGCAATAAACAGACCGAACCGGAACGCAAAGCCGATCCACAATGTCGCTGCGCCTTCATAGGATTTGGAGCCTGCATAGAAAGACCGGACAACTGCCGGAAGGATGAGGGTCACGAGAAAGGGAATGACAAGTTGCCAGGGAGCAGACGTAGAGGACGTCGTGGAAGCATAATAGGTGGAGCGGCAGAATGGCATCTGCTCTTCGCGGCACAGGCGGGAGAAGGACGCAACTCTTCCCAGAATCACAAATAAGATTGAATGATAGACTCCGAGCACTCGGTCCGCGGTTGACTTCTGCCGCATTGATGATGCCCCCGCGACGACTCCAAAAGTTGAAAGGAAGAACAGAAGGATTTCATCCTCCCAGATTGTGTACGAGTTCGATGCAAAGCCTATCGATTGGGACACTGTGAAGATAATTGCAAGCCATCCCCAAAGACTATTGGGGAGAGGCAACCCTATGCGCCCAGGTTTACCGAAAATGGCCCACGAAGCGCCAATGATGCTTCCTACGGCAGCCAGCAGAGCAGAAGACTCGACTGCTCGAGCAGACAATATGCGAGAGTAAGACAGGCAAGCTCCAGTCACAGCACCCAACACGGATCCCACCCCCACGGAGGAGAGCAGAGACTGAGTGAGTTCTGTGCGGGCGGCTTTCATACCTCGTGCGTAGAAGACGAGAAGGATGATCGCCGCAGAAAGAATTCCGATGCCCTGCAACATGCTGGGTACATCAAACTTCGCCCATAGCCCACGGCAGACGTGCAAGACGTGCCGTTGGTACTCGCGATGCAATTCAGAAGCCGAACGCGGAGCTGCCGCGTTCGATTTACCTGCTCTCGGGATATTCTGCCAGGCGCTCTCCGCGGCCTCCCAAAGCTCCTCTGATCCAAGTGACTGGGCTTCATCCGCACCGTGCAAGGATATATATTCGTGCTGATACCGTCTGATTTGCGCAGAGGTCAGGCGGTTTACTGTGGCAAGATTCTTCCAACCGTTACCCCCAACTCCGATGAAAGCCTCCTCGATCGGAGAACCAAGGTTGTTGAAGGGAATCGGCATCCCCAGAAGAAGTGACAGAGTGGGTACGAGGTCTATCTGGGGAATGAAACGTTCCCGTGCCGTGCTCGGAGGATTAGCGGTCTCCGAACTCGTACGGCCGAAGATTGCCTTCTTGGAATACATCCAGAGAGCCGCCTCAACTTCATCGTTGGATTCGCCCCCGTGGTCGCCCTTGGAGTCCATTCCGTGATCACCCATGACCACCAAAAGTGTCTTGTCATCTAGCTTGGCAATGATGTCTCGGACTACTTGGTCCATCTCGCGGAGTTTTGCGGCCATCGCTGGGTGATCCGGTCCGTATCGGTGCCCAGCATGATCGACGCCGAGATAATGACCGAAAATAACATCCCATTTCGTTGAGTTTTCAGGATGCAACAGCGGGAAAAGATTATCATTGACTCCATTGTCAACAGTGTGCAAGTCCCACACATTGAAGGAATCGAAAGGGCGTGTAAGATCAGCGTCAAAGTAGCCCGGGAAAAGAGCATGCCAGGTATCATCTCCCAGGTGGACCAAGGTCTTGCCTGCCGCGTGTAGCTGCGCAACGAGGTTATCTTCATCGATTGCCGTTCCGGCAAAGTTGGAGCCAGCATCCACAAATGTAGGTAGAGTGCCCGTCGTCAGTCCTTTGAGTCGTTGCAATGTCGTGGTCGGCGGATCCGCAATGAATGGAAGTAAGAGAGCGTTTTCAGGAGACTTGACAGCCGTTTCGTACAAAACTGGTATGTTGTTATGAAACAGGTGCGCTGTTTCGCTTTCCGTCCCTGGTACGAAAGGTACTGTAAAGTCGTACCGCAATGCATCTATAACGATCACAATAGCCTTGTCAAATGACTTTTCATGCCAGCATCCTTGCTTTCCTTTGCTCACTGATGATGAAGAAGCATCGTCGAAAGGAAGAACATCACAAGCCGATTTATTTTCCAAGACCATCCGAGTGAGAAGGAAACCTTTCGTAAAAAAGAAGATGCCAGTAACATGCAAAAGCCTAGGATCATTTTGACCAGTCAGCTCACGGCATCCAATAAAGACCAAAAGACCTCTGAGCAAAAGGGGGAAAGCTTACAGTATCCAACCGAAAACACCCAGTATCCCTAAATGTTTTATTGTGAAGGCGCGCTCGAATTGCTTCGTCTTGTCCACCGGCGCTTTAGTCGTCTTTCCAGGCTGCAGTTGCGGCCGTGTTGTCAGGTCGCTGGGTTCGGAAACCCGCGGCGAAGATGTTCCAGGGGAAGGTGCCGTAGGTCGCGAGCCTTTGGAGCTCGGACGATCATAGCCGGGCCCAGAGGCTGTCGTTGAGGCCATGGTGTGCACGCGAGTCAGAATAGAATGAAAGCCGGGTCATCCAATGGTTAAAGTTGCCCGTAGCTTTCGTCGCTGTGGGAGGGGGTTGTTGTCGCGCAATATATTGGCAGCCGCCTGCAAGTGCTAGAGTGGCCTCCGATGCGAGAAGCTCCGAGGCAATTGGATCACTCAAGAGGACTTCATTGATAATGTAAGGACTGAGTTCAGAATCTGAGGAACAGAGGAAGAATTAAAGGCCAAAAAGAAAGAAGGTGTACCATATGTCACTATCTGAGCTGTCAAGTGTGCTCTCCCATCGAAGCCGACTCAAAGCACGTTCATGGCTACAATGACAGCTCAAATACAACGAATAGAACAAATGAAACCCTAATAATGAGAGACGTGTTGTCAATTGATCTTGCCGATTATGAGCCTAGTAAAAGAGAAAAGAATGAAAAGGCCAGCAGAACGATGAGTTCAGATTGTTCGGACCCTCCCAAAAATCTCCTGCCGCCCGTGACGTCGGGAGTTCGGCGCTTTCGGCGACCCCCAATTAGGTAGCGAGGTATTCATGCAAGCTTTGTGCTGGGCGTCATTGGTTGGCTCGGCGCGGAACATTCAAGAAACCCTGCCACGGGTGGGCCATGTTGCCCTATCTGGAGTTTTGTTTACTGTCAAAAGTGACGATCAAAGAGTGAATATGATCTACAGACTATTCATGGACCATTTATAGATTATCTGTACAGGTAATGACATCCATTCAGGCTCACACTATGGAAAGCAGCCACGTAATGTAAAGCGGACTAGTTACATACATTATCCAGTTGTATGACACCCTAAAGGCAAACCGAGAATTGCAAGGGATGAAAGCAGCATAATAGTATAGAGAAAGTAAAGGGGGAAAGAAGAATGGTAAAAATAAAAGCTGGGGTTGAGAAGGAAGAAAGAGGCTCCAAGAAAGAAAAGTGAAAACCCGCGTGCATTACGTCCTTCAACCCTAGTGACGTGGCAGGGCTGAGAGGACCACAAGTGACCAGGCACAAGAGATGAACGCCAATGGAAGCGAGAAGACCAGGCAGTAAGAGATCCCAATATGGCAATGCAGAGAGAAAGAAAGAAGCAACCCTTTGCTATACACAATTCAGCTTCGGTAAGCCTTCGATCTGGTAACTCTTCCGGTCGATCCGGTCGATGACATTGTCCTCGCGAGCATGAGTATAGTCGGATGACCCGAAGAGTTAATAGGTGTAGAGGGCAGGATCGACGGACTATTCGCGTATGTGCAAGTCGAGGACAAAAAGGCAAAACGGTAATGGTCAAGAGGCGCAGACAGGAAGACAGGACAGATTTTCGCCAGAATATCGTCAAGTATTGAAAGGAGTCGGTGTCGTCGAAGGATGGAAGGGGTTAAAGTAATCGATTCTTTTGGGTATCAGTTCGGTGGAGAGATACGCAGGTCACCTCAAAGACGGTCGGCGCTCGGCGGTCGGCAATTTAAGACCATCTTTTCAAATCATCTTTCTCCTTGAGGCCGCCCATGCGTTCGATGTCCAAGGATTGGAAACGTTCAGCGTCGCTGGTCTGATAAGGTGGAAGCTCTTCATTGCATGGTTCCAACCCAACGGCACCGGCATCACTAATTCTCACCACCACAACACGGCCAGACTTGCGCTTTCCAGACTCGTCTTCCTCCTCGGGGAACGTAATGCGGATTTCAGGGACCGGACTGGGTGGAGGGCTTGACGAGTTCTCGATCAGGCTGCGCTTCTCATCGTACACCAGAATAGACTGTGTCCTCGTGTTTGAAGATGCGGAGATCGTGAGACGACGATGGTTGGGCGAGCACTGCCCGTTATGAACTGGGAGTTCGGAGTGCATCTGATTTTGACGCTTTCGTCGCAGGACAAGAAGAGTAGCGACTAATACAATGCCGAGTAGAATGAGAACCAAGAGAGAAATCAATAGATCAATCATTGCGGGGGCAAGTGTACTATTGTCATCGCTGTCGCTGCTGTCGCCGCGAGTCACAAGCTTGATGAACATCTTTGCTGATTTTGATGGACAGGTGTACCCTAGCGACGCGTCTCGACTCCGATTCTTGCAGGCTCTTTAACGGGTTCGAGTATACGATGAATGGGTGTATTTAATCCAAAAAAGAAGTCGTGCTGTCACATTTCCCTTCTCGTCAATGACAAGTCCAAGGACATCAGGCAGTCTTTCCATCATCATCACTTACACTATATCCGAAAAAGTTCCCGCCAGTCGATATTGAGGAATCTTATTCGAGTGTATTCAGAAGTCCAAGGAGAGAATGAATCGGGTGGGTAGTGGTGGTCGGTCGTGAGTTGATCGGCCGAAGTGTAGAGACTGACTTGATCGGCGGCGATGATAAAGGAACGGACAGCAAGGTGAACAGCTGAAAGAGTGAAGCTGGCACCTGCTTGGGTTAGAGAGAGAACGTGATGGAGTGAGAAAGGAGGAAGAATGAGAGAGGGGTTGGTATGGGGGATGAAAACAATAATGACAAGGGAAGAAAAATGAGATGACTGAAGGGAAGGGAAGGACTTGAGTTGGGGGAGGCAGGAGGAAGGAAGGCCAGCAGGCCAGGCCAGCAGTCAGCAGCACAGCCGACCAGTCCGGCTCGAGGGAAACGGGGCGCAAGGGCGCCTAGAGCCTTAGTGTTCAGTCTTAGAGGTCCAGACTCCTGACCGCAAGGGTAAGGTACTGTTCTTTCCCTTAGGCAGACAACCTGTCAAGTGGGGTCATTCTGTAGTCTAGTGGAAAGACTAAACCTATAGAGGCATGCTCCAGGAGATTTAGTGACCAGTTGTTACTCCGTCACTAAAGAAAAAGGAGCCCACGCTGCATTGGTTCCAATGTTTCCTCTGCTTGTTGACTCGCACAGTGTTTTGCTTCATTTCTTGGTGGTTCGCTCGGCGTTGCCGCTAAGAGCGGGTGTAATTTCCCCATCATAAGCATTCAGTCAATAAGAAAGCCTTTGTCCCTGACGCCAACTGTCCATCAAGCTTATTCGTCACATGTCCCATCGTAAGGAAGGGCGCTAAAATAGGTGTGTGCTAATATTATCTCTCTGGGCTGACTATTGAATCCGAGGCATTTTCTTTTGCTTGTGGCTTTCTTGTTTTCTGCCCCTGAAAAAAGGGCCATTTGCTTGGTCATCTATCCATCATCGGATGTGTCCACTTACGGGCCCTCAAGAGAAATAATGCAGACTTAAGCATTCACATCAGACAGTTGGACACTTGTTCTCTAAGAATTCCCAAGGATTCACTGAGGATTTGGCCAGGATCGAGTCTATATATTTTCCGAAATTTCAGCGGAACCTCCATAGAAGACAGATCTTGCGCATTTGACTTGCGAGGAAAAAGTGTCGTCGCTCACGTCCAAAGCCCTGCAGTCTTCTCACTCTACTCGGTATGCACGGATATTTTCTTGCAGGATTCACAGGAGGTGGGGTTCACAACAACCACAATGACAGCAAGTGCTTTATTAGGCTTGTTTATCATCTTTCAGACTGTTCCAGTCCAACCCGTATTGTAGACTAAGGTAAGTCTATCATCAAACAAGATCCGGTGAATCATTTTGTACAATGTTTAGAGCAGACATGTAAGCATAAACACACGTACAAGCACCACATGTAAGCCTGGCCTAGAAGCACGACAATGAAATGGTATCAGCAGCGTTGAATGGATTTATAGATTGTGTAAGTATTTGTTTAAGAATAAAAATCCTAATCAAATACTGTATTGCTTGTTGTGCATGATAGGCATCTAGGATTTACAAACATTGCAAATCAGAGCAGATTATACTGAGAGGCCGCTACAACATATAATATGTTGGAGCACAGGAACAGCAATAGCACACGGGAATTGAGAACATCTTGATGACTAACCTTCCATGTCTGTACCTGAGAAGATCGGCTCCAACAACCCGTATGTTAACCGGATGAGCTAGCGAATGTTTTCAAGGACCCATTGGATGTCTTACAAAGTACGGAGCAGTAGTAGTAGGATTGATGCCGAGGCTCGTAAAGCCTCCAGCACTTACGGAGAAGAACCCTGGACCCTTCCACTCCAGAACGATTATTCTACAGATTCGAATTTGACTACCTCTAGGAATAGTCTTCTATCAGTCGGCCAATGCCCTGTTTGAATGTATAGCTCACTTGACAACCGTAGGAAACGCATGATGACCGGACTATGAAGGTCTAAGCTTGAGCCCACTACTGTGTTCAATATATGAGGGCTCCATCTACCCAGCATCAAACATGGTATGTGATAATCTTTGCTCGAAGGAAATCCGAGCAAATTGCTTCCACGTCTTCTCAGCTAAGTCAGTAATTCTTTTCTAGTCGTCACCATTGATGGTTCTGCGCGTCCTATGTGTCCAAGAATAGTATTGGAAATGAGGCATCATATAGACACATTTCCTTATCCAGATAACCTCCCGAAGATCTTCTTCACCAGTCTGTAGCCATATTTGCCTGCCCAAATACGCTACAATGACCTCCTACGGTTCTGAGTATCTCCAGCATCGGTCCAGACTCGAGCTCCCTTGCTTTTGGATGACTGACCGTTGGTTCGAGTGCAACATTGTTCGAAATATCTACACCTAAGAATTTATGAGCCAGAGAAAGAACGCTTCGTGTATGGACAACACATACAACGGAAGCTACCTTACGGAATGCAAAGGATGCATAACTTTCCGGGAGAGTACCCACATGTCTCAAACACACCTCGAAAATATTTCCGCTTGTTGACACGAGCACTTTTGAACTATACTCGTGTCTCGATCAGAATCCGGGGTTGATAACAGCTTTCTTGACTAGGCAAGGGACTTGCGTGTTCAAGCTTATCAGCCCCATACTGATAGTCATAGCGATAGGTGATCATCATGTTCATCATAATTATCGTTTATCTAGAATGTTAGTGCCACGGAATAGATGAGGAAAATAACGCAAGGCTCAATTGAGTCTTTGGCTTTGTCCTATCGTAAGGGAAGGGATGACTATGCGGATCCAATGGTATGTGAGCTCTTAGTGGAAGCGTAGAGCAGAGGACAACTGTGGAGGAGCACGGTGATGCACTGCAAAGAACATCATTATTAGTACATAGAGTAGTCACGAAGCATCAAAAGGGCCAGATCCGATAAGAGGAAGTCATGATGCAGTATATGAGGATAAGGATGGGTTCCCCTGGATCGCAGCTGTACTTACTATGGGCCAAAGTGACGAGCGATAAACAAACCATGGTTGTTACTACTGTATATGTAAGGGGTTTTCAGGCTCGAGGGATCAAAACTCAGAACTTTACCTATTTCACTGCGAGCATGAGTTGGCACAAACTTACAGCAAGTCTCAGTGTTGATGCTGCTCAGGTCAATAGTGCAGGTATGTACGAGGATAATATTGACGAGAAAAGCGAGTAAATGAATTGACCGAGGAAGAAATTCACAAAATTATATCCAACCATGGGTAATGGGTGTAAACTTGGACCAGTAGGTAAGGTACCATTCTGTATGTACCTGAGGTTGAGTCAATCAAGGTCACGGGATTTGGAAGTACCTTAACCATAATGAGGATTTGCCAATGATGAAGCTGCAGACGTCTATGAAACAATTGCGTAACAGCAGGTCCTAGGCAGACATTCAATTTCCTCAAAACTTTCTCCAATTTCCGCCTATTCAGATTCCCTCCTACGGATCCCTTCGTTCAAAAAATCTGCAACGATACATGAGAACGCCAGAAATAGAAATAGTGGCCTCAGGGCAAATCGGATGATTCCTTGAAAAGACTCTAGATCGACAACTGACGAATGATCAGAATACGATGGAGGAAAAGGGCTAGTCTAGTGGATCCGATCGGTCGGCCTGAAAGGCGCTGCTTAACCTTCTCACCCACCTTGTCAACACAACTGTGTTAGTGCAAGGGTCTATCCATAGGTACTACTTACTCTAATATCAGAAGACGATGACTCTATGCTGATGATAAGAATTGAATTGACTCAGGAGATACTTTGTGTCATCCGAGCCTTAATGATCCATGGCTGATCTGAGAGAGAATTCAATAACGAAAAGTCAGGAAAGTATGTCCGACCAAATGACTACTGAGAGTTGGCCATTGTCCCATACGCAAACAAACCGCTACCTACGGACTAAACCTAGTAAGCTACTGAGGTGGGCAGTCCGGACTTTCTTCCGCCCTTTGCGTACATAGATTACGCACATGCGATATAGGAATGCCTCTACCTCTCAAACCATGGCTTCGATCTGGCGGTCAACCTACCGTTTCACCTAGCTGAAGGCACTGATCGATCCATGTGTGGTGAGAATGGAAGATTTCAAGACCAGCGAAATAGAACCAATTGTTGTACAAGGACTCCTCCACCTATGCAGATTCCACTCAATCAACCCCGTATAGCCAATGATGATCCATCCTCATCATCTTGTTTCTCCGTCATACCAGCAAAAGACGAGCGGACCCGCCTTGATTGAAGCCTAAACAAGAGGCGGCGGGAGCATAATTTCGGGCGGCCCCAGATCTGGCGGTTGTCTGGAAAGGTGCTTAAGACAACTAGAACCAGATAACCTGATCAACTCACGGGGACATCAATGAACGACTTATGATACTTACACTTTGAATGTTAGGTAAGGATAAGCCAACAAAGGTATGTCCCATAACTGAAAGATCAATGGATACCTCTTGCGATACGAGAAACACTTATGGAGCACTCAAATCTGCGATCGACAGAATCGCCTGGGTGGGTGGTGTCTTATCTGTATTTCTGTGATCGATACCGTATCATGACTGATCGCCAACGAAACAGCCCTTCCGGACTTGAGCCTGAGGTATCCAAAATCCCCCTGTAAGTCTATATGTAGACTATGTAAGTCCTGAAATTCAAGGCGCCTCACTTTTGGTATGCTGGAAATATCCTGTAAGTGTAACGGTATTACAGTTACATACTAACTTTACCTACCTTACTTTTAGGCCCATTAGTCTTTCCTTCCAAGACACGCAGCATCTTTTTTCCTGCTACTGGAACCTTTCCATAGCAGCAGCATCAGCAGCAGCTTATCTAGGTAGTCTACCTATCATCCCAGCAAAAGACTTCATTTCTTCTTTGCTTTTTCCCTTTTCTTCTCGCTTTCTGTTTCTCCTCCAGATTCCCCCTTCTCTTGTTCTTATTACGTCCGTATTGGCAGGTCGTCTTAATAATTTGCTGTCTTACCATTATTTCTGCACGCTTGATCGGTCTTTTTCCCTTGTTCACTATTCTTTTTTTTTCCCACCAGAGCTAAGCTATCTGGCTCTCCATCTTGCCTTTATCCTTCTTCCTCC